TTTTTTTTTGGATTAGATTTACTGCTTAATTATTTTATTTAATAAAAGTCTGAGAGGAAATATGTTGTTGTTATAATTAATTCATATAGGTAAATGACTTTCATGATATAGAATCATTAAAAAATGGCTATTCAATGAAATCACAATATTGCATTTCAATGCGTAAAATGAAATCAATTCATATTCACATATATAGAGGTACTTGCTTCGATGATATTTTCTTAAATTTCTTTTCTTTCTTCTTTTCTTTTTTCTTCTTTTTTTTTACTACGAATAGACACAACAATTTTACTATGGTTTATAAGCGCTTTTCTTTTACTTCTAGACACTTAATGAAGATTAATCTCTATTAGTTTTGAATGAATTGTTCCAGTATTTACTTAGAGATAGTAAATAATTGATTTATTATTCGCTATCTCTGTATGAATTGATTTATAAAACATTGGCCTAACGTAAGGATTAGAAATTTAATTATAGATTTAACATAAACAGCATGTGTATTTAATACAAGGCACTGTTCTCGAAATATACATATGTGGTATAATCAGAACGTAGTTATTTAAAAATTCGTTTATGCAACATAATATGTATAATCTGATATTAGGAATGAAACAATATAACGATTGAGTAATTTTATAAGGTAGAATTAATAAATCTTCAGTTTAAAAAAAAAATGATATTATTAAGAATTATTAATAATTTATTTGATTGTTTTGCATTTACAGTTTATAAAATATACAAGACAAAATTATTATTATTATTTTTCACCATAAATAATTATTATGAAAAATCGAACAACGATATTTAATAAATATAGATAGGAATTTAAAAAATCAGTATTACCAAGCTAAACTACAGTCAAGATCAATTCAATAATTATTGCCGAATGATAGAATAGTGGTTGATTGATGATATTGATCAGTCGCTAATCAATTACTACTTAAAACTTCATCTAATAAAAAGCAATTATTGAGTGAGATCATACTTGTCTATTAAAAGTATTCATTATTAATATTGACTTTCGATTGGGTAAGGCGGTGGCCGAGCTTAAAAATTGTTATACACGCATTAACTCGCTGAGAAATGAAATGAAACGAAAATGAGAATTTCATTCTGAATATGAAATGTTCGAGTTCACGTCGCCAGGCTTTTCTTATATAAGAATAGCATCTCACGTGCAAAATTTTGCATATTTCTATTAGCATTTCGAAACATGATAAGCGCAAGAAGTTTCATTATAATAATATCTTATACATCAATACCACTCTCGCATTATTAAACATTATATGAACAATAAAAAAAATATTGGATTACATGTTAAGTAATAATTTAATGTCGCTCTTAACAAAACACTCACCCACGCTTGTATGTTCGGAATTCATTACTTCTTACGCTCTCGAGTATCGACAAATCAATAAAAATATACGGCGAACGTATGCATTATGCATTATAACAATGATATAATGTGTAACAGTGATAGCGATAAATCAGCAGTGCCAGAGCTTTTTCTCCTTATTTACTACAGATAAATTCTTATTGTATGCTGTTAAGAGAGAGAGAGAGAGAGAAACCGGATCTCTATCACACATTCGTCGATTGAATTAAACTCTCCAGAGTTGAAGGACTCTTGTAAATCGATAAGCCGTGAATATTATGGCATTACAGATATGCATATAGGAATCGGCGATTTTCCATACTCCCTAGCCTGCGAAAACTCAGATCACGTATTTATACACTCGTGTTCCTATTATAGATCACACTCCTCCCCCGTCACCCTCTTATCCATTTATCTAAACGCCAAGAATCAACTCGACCATACAGAGGACTGCGTCAGTCTTATTTATGACGTTTCAGTGAGTTCATGCTTCAGCGTGCGTCATTGATGAACAAATAAATAAAGCGGTTTGAGCGCGCGTTGCTCTGATTATGAAATATATCTATCGAGGCACATCTTTCGTTCCCTATGAACTTGGTACTCGTAAAAACCATGTACAAATCAAGTTGGAATTTATCTAGGAAAGCATATAATTAATTTATGGTTAAATTTGTCAATTATACAATATCCATTTATCATTGAGAATTATTAAAATACATAATTCCTTGATTTCGTATTTTTATAAATTACCAATGACCTACTTATAAGCAAATATTACAATAATTACATTGTATTATCATAGATCATTTAGAAGATTATGTATATTTTATACTATTTATTCTCTTACATCATATTGAGTTGTGTCTTAATTATAATAATTCACTTTTTCACGAATATCCCAAATTTTTTTTTTTTTTTTTTTTTTTTTTTTTTTTTTTTTTTTAATTTCCTTAAAATGAATTTATATACTGAATTGGAGTTCATGTTGAAAATGAATCATTAAAAATATAAGTATCACATCAAAATAAATCAAACTAGCATTTTGAACTATTACTTTGAAATATTAATACCTAAAAATAATAGGAAATTTTTACTGATTGAAATTCTCCGATTTACTTGTAAAAATTAATTTTTTATGTTACATTATTGAATTCATTATAATTATTTAATTCATAATTAATGTGATTTCAATTTCTTTTTAATATATAATACAATATTGATTATTAATAATAATTCCAATTGTTATCGTGTATAAGTTTAACACAAAATTAATATTTGACAAGGTTTCGATTTAAAGTTTCGTCCAATTAAACATTACTTCTGACGAGGTTTTAATTTTAACTAAAAAGATATTATTTATCTTCAATACGTTTAATATGTTTAATAAATACAAAAAAAAAAAAAAAAAAAAAAAAAAAAAAAAATTTGATAAAAATAAATCTTCGTCGTTATTTTATCGTCTATAGTTAAGTAGTCAAGTGGTAATGAATTTTCGAATTTTTTTTTTTTTCTTACTCTCATTATTCTATAAACGTCATTTGATCAGCGCAATGATAGAAAAAAATTTATTGGTATTTGAATAATTACATTGATCAATTTTTAATGAATATATCATTTTCTATAAGAATTCTTAATTGAATGAAATTAAATGAATATGCAATTTAACCTACTAATGATAAATTAATTTATTAACAATATATAATAATTAGATTTTTAAAATGTAATGAAATTCGATTATTCTTCTTTTGTATGATTATAAGGTAGTATTTTATTATTTCTATGCTCTTTTATATTAAAACTTATTACAAATACGTGTGCCGTAATGAATGATATCTTGTAAAATATATTTTAATTATTCGTAACATATATGTGTATATATACATATATATATATATATATATATATATATATATATATATATATTATTTAAACAATCATTTATATATTGCTTATACGAAATAATTTATTAAAGAATTGTCTATTAATATAATATAATTAAGGAAAATAGTTAATTTGACATTGTTATGATACATTATCGTTAATATTTTGATTAAAGTAATTTATCTAGTAATTTCAATAGTAATCTAATAACATTGTTTAAGAAAAATAATCAAAATCTAAAAATTTAATCGTATAAGCTAAAAATTTTTTGAATTTATAATAAAATAAGTGTTCGATATTTTATTTGATAAAACAACTGTTTCACGAATATAATAGAATGAAATAAATCATTCGAAGATAGTATATTCATGAAGTTTCTTGTCTATCAAACGAAATAAAAAAACTATTATGCAATTTCATTTGACGCATGACATCACTAATATTTTCGTCTGTGCAATTTATTGTAATACTAATGCGTATACTACGTACTGATACAAAAAGATCGTGAACTCTTTTCAGCTCCATTACATAATTCATTGAACAGATTCATTGAGTGAGTAAACTCACTTTTTCCTGGTATTAAATCTATAGCTCCAGAGGAATAAAAAATTGAGATTATGTAATTTTTAAAATTAAATAACTTATTTTATAGTTAAATAAACTATTCATAATTTCTTTTAAACTTATGTATGCTTTAATCGATCAATTTTGCATATTTTTTTTACTAAATTGATACTAAGTTATATATATATATATATATATATATATATATATATATATATTGTTTTTTCAAAACTCACTTTGTCACATTATAGTATTAATTTTTTCATCAAATTCATTGTTTCTTTTTTTTTTAAGCTACGTAAAAAAATATTTTTTTAAATCTAAATTCATCCATTAATGATAATAATTTAAAATAATTTTTATAAATCTGTTGAACTAGCAAAGAGCTCAGCCCAACGTTTTCAATTCAGACAAATATATAAATTTATGAATCGCGAATTTTGAAATACAAAACAAGTTAATGGAAAATATTAAGACATAAAAATTTAATGAAATTTACAGTATATATTACATAGTAATGCCAATATAATGGACAATATATTAACAAAATATTGTTGTTTATCTATGTCTTGTCATTATGTCTTCCCTCACTGATATGAATAAATTCATCAATACGTTATCCTGGCGGAATATTTTTAATGTACTAATAATATAATTAAATTATACTGCTATGATTATATTTTTTAATATTGACGTAGTACTTAATATTTTTTTTTTTTTGTGTTTTCGCTTCCGAATTTCAAGTGATATTTAGATTTTATTTTAACGTATGAATATTATTATTGATTTGAAAGATATGCCTTTAGTTTAATAATTTTGTTCTTATATAATCTATGATAATTCTCGTAAGAGTATGAAAACGACTTACGTCTGACTACATTTACTAATGCGAACAGTTTTTTTTTTTTTTTCCCCTCCTAAAAATATGCAGCGCGCGAATACATAAATGTGCAAATATAGAATACAAATCGCTTGTACTAATAAACTAGTTACTGATTCGATCCGTTCGCTATCCTCCTTTAACTCAATATCGCATGGTAGAAAAAAATTTTTGCTCCTCGTCATTCTCGACATTATATAGTAACGTGAAGTGCCGCACTGTATAATTAACAGTCGAGTTGCAAGTCATGCCCTCTCGTCCTGGCATCGAGTATTCTGTTCTCATTTTATTATTTTTTTTATAGAAACTCGTGAGTCATAATTTCAACTACCAGTTCGATACTCAGCCACACTGAAAACTTTCAGGTAAATATGTTGAAATAATCTTCTAGTATTTGCTTGAATATGAGATTGCGGTAATATCAATCTTCTAAATTCTAAATCATCCTGTTTCTCCAAATATTAAGATAACGCGTAGAACAAATTTCAAACGTACATTTAAATCATCACCATTGCAAGCGTTAATGCTCTATTATTAATTAATCAATCTAAAGTTTGCATAAAATAAATTTATTTAGTTGCAATTGAAATTATTTGGAAGATTAATTTTTAATTATCTGTCTACAATTCATACGATCTTAACAACAACGTACTAAATAATTGATTTAAGATGTAAACTTTTCAAATATTTGCTTATAATAATTAGTATTAATTAAAAATATAAAAGTATCATTGTGACTACTCTACCTTAAAATAGTTAAAGACAGTTGTTTCTTATTCATTATAATACGTGTGATTTATATATTTTTCAGTAATATAATATGAAGTAAGCACTTGTTCATTATAATAAATAAACAATTTACATGATTATATTAAAAAATATAAAAATTTTTCATATTTAAACATTTTAATGTAGCTGCAAAGATTTATTTAATAACCTAATACTTGTTATTATTATTATTATTTGTCTTATAAAGATATACAATAATTAGCTTAAATGTACTTTAAGTAAATGCTGTTACGATGAAAATTGAAATTTAAAATACGAGTGTATAATTTATATATCATATATAGCCTTATTTGTAAATATAATCATATTCCTAACATAATAAAAAATATAATAAAATAGATTTTAATGATGACTTATAAATATTTAGCTGCTGTTTAAAAACTTTCTATTTATAAAAATTAAATTTTTTTCTTCGAAATAATTGCCTGGTACACTATCACGTATTTAAAGGATAATATTAATGTTTTAAAAAGATCTCTCGATCAACAATTTTATTCACTTGTAAATGACATTCGACACATGTTTAATTAAAATTCATTGCATTTCATTAATATTAACCAGTAATTTAAGCGAACTTGTCAATAAATTTCATAAATGTGAACTAGTAGTATAGATTATCTCTAGAATTATTAAGGATATAATGGATGAAATTTATATTTAATAATGAGTATTAACTGACTTTTTACAAAAATGAATTTCCTTGTAATATTTAAAAATAATATTTAAAAAATGTTCGATAATACGTAATTGAATAATTTTTTAGAATAACATGTCGTTGGATTTTAAGAAATTTTGCATTCCTATTTTAAATATAATAATACGCCATAAGTTCAATATTCAGTCAAATATGATTTAATTAACATTGTTTAGCGCGCATGAACGAATCAGGAATAATAGTATAAAAAAGTGTATTCTTTAATATTCTTTGTACCTATTCGTAATTACAAATAAGTACTACTAACTAATAATAATTATTAGTTAATAATAATTAATTAAAGTTATTTGTAAAATTAATATTTATCGAGGCGTCCATGCATAATACTGCATGTTAAAAAAATGCTTACAATCAATAATTTGTACGTTAACGTTTTAAAAGTTAAAGTTACTTTTTTCTTCATTTTAATTATCGTTGATTATCTCAATTAGCTAAAATAACACGATAATATCATTGTAAAATTAACCTCCTTATTATTGTAAATTTTGCAATAGTACAGAACAATTTAAATTAATAAAAGGTTTTATCTAATTTTCTTATAAAATTTCATTGCGATTTACATAATATCTTATATAAGATGAAAAGTCATATAATACAAATAGAAATTCAAAAGTACATTCAGAGTTCTCTTATCTAAACTTAATGATTTTTTTCTTATTTTTATTTTTAACCGCCTATTTAAAATTTTACTTTATTAGATCATCATAGGAATTAAGATAAATATTTGTTTTTAATCTAATTTTATACTTTACGAGTAAACGTTATTAATAGTTTTATCAGTTTTTCTGAAGTATTAGTAATTCTGCATCAGTATATATAAATAATATATATTACTTGATTCAATGAGCACTTTCAGTTGAATAATTAAATTTGTATTATGACGAAAAGTATATTTGTCATACATTTAGCCGTAATTGATGTCGATTAATGGCAAAAGTACTATTGGCATATATTTATAAGCAAAATTCTCAATAGTTGTTACTTAATGAATTGAAAAGTACTTTTCCAATAAAGTTTACGAATTCGATTGGAAAAGCGACAGGCGTTGGACTGAGAAGAGTCGAAGGAAAGTTGCTAAGTGCACTAGAAGAAATATCCGACACTTCAAGGATCACACGAGAAATTCCCTCTCACTTTGTAACGAGAAAATATGGGACAGTAAATACGTAATATCTATAGCTTCTAAAAATGTCGAGAACTTAATTTTCCCCATAGGAGCGAAATTATAGTAGCTATGGCGTAGTACAAACATAAATTGTGACAATTGGTGGTATCCAATCAAGATCGAATATTTCGATTATTACCACAAAACACTCGTCTTCTCTTTATAGCCGCGTCTCTCGTTTCATTTCCTTTCCATTAATTTTTTCACGTCATTGCAGGATTATGGGAGCCACTATATACGCGTGACTTTTATACTTGTATAATTAACATTGAACATTTTCCGAACAATTGATCTATTTTGTATTTGTGCCCGAATGATTATTTATACATTAATACGACCGAAGTATTGCAATTACTTTAAATTTAATTTAATTGAAGATCCGTCAAATTAGATGGGCGATATCGGTTGGCTGTAATCAATAAGCACTATCAATTGAAAAATAACAAGGGTATTTAAGAACGAAGTAATAATTACGAGTGTGGAGTTTGATGTATAAAGCGATTAGTCAATTAATATGGCGCACCATATCTATGTAAATAAGAACTGATTACTTGTCTCAATTTGTCCATTAATTGTTGAGCAAAGTTTCATAAAAGTATTCCGGTCAAACTATTTGGATTGCTCGATTCTCAGATTATTTATCATAATGTCTCTCAAGCTTTTTTTATATTTTTTATTTTTGTCACACGATACGCGTTCATACTCTATATCGAGAAAAATGTTTTAAAGTATTGCAATATTAAACAGCGTAGCATATGTGCAGCATCCATTTTTTTTTTTTTTTTTTTTTTTTCAATTAGATGTAAGACGCACCGCAAATTTCTCCACATACTTTATTAAGCTATTGATAAGATTGTGATTCTTTGATATGAAATATGAATAAAAGTGTAAATAAAATCCATGGAAAATTGATTTTGAATAATTATCAAAGAAAAATTACTCGTAGTAATAAGATTGAATGTTTTAGATCGAAGTATTACCTTGATCTCGTTGTTTTAGTCGAGGATGAAAGAAAATCTTCAATGCGTCCTGGTAACGCACAAGGCGGCCAAAAAACGCCAAGGTGACGCCTACGGTACCTCGGGCATTTTTCTTTCCGATGGATGGATCCTTAGTCACGGGACTTTGCTGTCGCTACCATTCGACGACTCTTCCGACCGCGACCTACAAAGCTTCCTCATTGATATTCAGGAGAAGCACGACAGAGATTTGCTCGTCGTACCGCGCGACCTGTCACAAACCTTAAAACTGCAGCTGCAGTATAATCGTCTGTCCAATAACACTGATGAGAAATCAAGGTAATCGATAATCTTCCGTTTATTTGGAATTCAATAATTCGTTGGACTCGAAGGAGTATAGAAAGATTAATTGGCCTATGATAGAAATAATTACTACTCAAATAAGTAATATGGCTTTTATATAATATAAAATATATAATGTATTTGAAATGGGCTCGTAAATTTCATTGAATATTATTGTCCTGATTAATTTATTATTGTTTAGAAATTATGATTTCATTGGCATTCCATGAAATTTCTACTTGTTCCCTATCCCTTTCAAATTTTACATACTAGCAAATAACGAATAAATTTATCAAGATAACATTAAGGTATAATTGTTCATCCTAATACCTCTTAGCTTACTTCTCTATACAATGTCAATATTTCAATATATATATATATATATATATATATATATATATATATATAAATAAAGGATAGAAATATAATTTATACTGACGAAAGTGATAACGTGCTACTACGTAATGAAGCTTATTAGAATAATGGCTTAAATAAATCGTAGCTTAAAGGTGTTGCAAAACCAATTTGCGCGATGTCTTATGATTAATCAATTTGAATAATTGATTATGATAATAATTGAATTAATCGAAGTGAATAATAGTAATAAATTTTTTAATTTAAAAGCACAAAGATATTGAATATATTTTTGAAACGATATTAGTATAATTTTGACATTGTGTATAATCAGCAACCATCTATCCCTCGCAATAAATTAAATAACAATAGAATAACGTAAACAAATAACAAAATTGTTTCATATATGTGTAAAGCGATTGTCAATAATATTTTTTCTACGCAGGGTGATGGAAAAGGTAATAATTGAAGATAAAAATTGTTCTTTACGTATTATATGGCGATGTTCGTTGCTACATCAAACCTTCAATAGCTTGAATTCTTGGAGTTTCGAGAAGGTCGACAAGTTCGACAAGTCTTTATTGTCGATTTTTTTATTGCTGAAAGTGGAGAGTGGAACTGAAATAAGGGCGGATGATATTGCAGAGGGCAAGAAAGTTTTAAGGTACAATAATATCCCTATAAGTTGATAAAGGACAAATTGGCGAGTCTGACTCATCGAAAATTCATAAGTATAGTCATTATTATGGGGTTTTATAGTTTGTTTTAAGCTATTTCAGTGAAATCTTGGTCGTTTTGAATTTTTGAAGAAAAAAAAAAATTTTTTTTTTTGACAATATAAATGAATGAGTTATAAAGACGACGAGTTCCTTTATTATATTACATTTATAATTAGAATTTCTATAACTATTGCTATTGCTGCTATTATCCCTACCGCTATCGTTAATACTACTATTATTATTTTGACATTTGTAGCACATAAATTGACATAGAGACTTTAAATAGTTACTTATATTCCTAATTCATGAATGGCTAATGCTGTCCTCTTAGTGTTGAAACGCCAAAAAAAAGTAAATGTATCGAGATAAAAATTATCCACAATTTTAAAAATACAATACGAGTTATTGTAATTTTATGCTCATGAATGGCGTTTAATATATAATATTTATAAAAGAATGAAAATTTCTTGCACGCCTCAATTGAACTGCCTCGATAATAAAAACTTTTTTTTTATTAAACACCGAAGACAAGGAAATGAAAAATATTGCAGTTTCCTGCTATTATATAGTAAAATTTATATATATATATATATATATATATATATATATATATATATATATATATATAAAACAAAAAAAAAAAAAAAGGAATAGAAAATTCGTAAAAGCATTTTTTAAATTCTTTCATCGATTTTATTAATTTTATAAATAATACAGAATGATCGGGTAAGTAATGGCCAATGTTCCATAACAATCTTAACTTTGTTATACACATTCCGCAAATCTTCAATGTACGATCATTATTATATATAGCAATTTGAAATTTTTAAATTAATCCCCTTCTTTAAATTTATATATAAATATTTATAAAAAACCCCCTCTTTATATATATATATATATATATATATATATATATATATATATATATATATATATATATACGCTTGTTTTAAGGTGAAAATACTAGAATAGCCGTATCGAGCGAGCTACTACTGTCCTCTTCTGTCTTTATTCAGCACAATGACGCTCTTATGCAGTCTCGGCAGTGAAATTTCTTAACGCCATATCCTATTCTTAATTAAAAATACCATATAAAGTAGTCGAGTGATGTATACTGCCACTATTTTACCCTCAAAATTCACGTTCGCGTTGACTATTGCATATCCATCTATGTAATCCCATCTCATTGCAAACGAACGTCAAAGAAAAGCCCGATAAAACTCCTCGCTTTTCATCCCTTCTCAGCGACTTTTACAAGAGGCACTTGACCGATTCGAGAATTCCTTTGAGACGTGGCATGCTAGTGGAAATGGAGGCCACGCCGTTCGGTAACGCGACGTTCCTGGATTCAGTGTCACGCGGCATTGTGAGCAATGTGTTCGGTGCCGAGGACTGCGTCATCTTGACTGACGCCAACGCCTTGCCTGGTTGCGAGGGTGCACCACTCTTCACCTTCCGCCATCCGTTGAGTATTTTATATGCCTTTATCAGAGTGATCGTTAAGATCGTTAAGTAGGAGGTTGAGAGTGCACGATTGATTTATCATTGCATTTAGCGGAGTAAGTACGATGATAAGATGGATACCTTTGACAGTGAAGAGCGTTGATAACTCGGCTCACCTAAAAACGGATCTACGAAGTTTATTCTCAAAGTCGATCGAAGGGAATAATTGTGTCGCGAAGATAATAATTCCTTTTGATGAGACTAATAAAAAAAATATCATTTTTCGTTACTTATAGAGAGAGAGAGAGAGAGAGAGAGAGAGAGAGAATAAGTTTTTCAACAGCCGATGACGGTGCGGTTAAATTCATTCTCTTAGGCATTGTTCTTGTCATTAATCTAGTATTATTGTAATATCGACGATTTTTATACGACAAAATCGTAATATTCTTTATAAAATCCTTTATTATTGATGAAAAAAATTTCATTCCATTATTTGAATTTTACTTATATTGCTCAGTTTATTTGCACGATTAATCAATCTTGCATGATATTTCTATACTTTTTTTCCCCTCACATTTCATTCGATTAAATATGCTCGTTGGCATGATTATTTATTTTATCCAATACGATTTTGTAACATAATCTAGAATCTAATCAAAATATCGAATGAATAAATATAATAATACAACAGATGTGTGATATGTAAATAATAAATGCTTTGAGCTATTGAATCACATCATAAACTTCGTAATCCCAAATTCACCTAAGAATCCGTCAATTATGCGCAGCAACAACTTAATGCCATTGAGCTAAAAATTTGTATTCTATCGCATTCGTCGGTTCCCGGACACTTGTAGCTTTAGCAAGCAATAAATTCGTAATGATAGTGATGCTTTGATACGCTAGTCTATTTACAACTTGCACGGGGATGAAAAAATTTTATTTTACGCATTAAATATAATAGAGTCGTAAGTTCGTCCGTCTGCTCGCTCTCGTTCCTTTTAGCCACTGGATTTTGACAATTTGCAACGATCGATTGGCACAGAAGCAACGGCACTCCCTATTAGATAAAACTGTCATTAATTTTTAACAACTGAACGTATCGCTCGTTGAGTTTCACGAGATGGAAGAAGTAAGAAAGTCGGAGACTTATACGAGCCGCGTTCCTCGTACAAAGCAATTTTTTTTTTGTTAATCGATGCTAAAAGAAAGGTGTACTCATGCACACACAGTGACAGGGAAGTCGAGAGGCAAATTTGCGGCATCGTGATCGCTCCTTTAAGTTGGTGCCGTGGCGAGTGGGTTGATTACACGTTCGCCGCTAATTTGCGGCCTTGCCTGGAGGAGGTGCTGCGAGTATCGGATATGAGTGTCGCTTTACCGAGCTTTGGCAGTTATATCAACGACGATGACGACCAAGGACTCGAGGAGCAACTATTGCCAGGTGACAAAATCATTATCGAAAAACGTTTATCCGCGAGAGGGTTTTACTCGGTTTGGCTGAGGGCGAAGGGAGCTCCTGTGACGAATTTGTCAGAGAAAGAATTGTGATGAGAGCGCGATAGGGTCAGGGGATATGAGGAAGGGACGACACGTGAGAGAACATTCTGTCTTGTCTGGAGGCAAAACGGATGTATAAACCGACGTGAAAAAGCTTTTTCTCCCTTTGAAGAGATAAAAAGTTTGCGTCGAATATAATATATCGATTTACGTTGGAGCCCGTGGGATAATTCCGAGTAAAACAATCCTCTTATAATTAACAAATTGTTAAAATTAGCTTAAATGTTTGCTTTCAAGTTTATCCTTAATTATTGTGATTGAAACACTGCTTTTGTTGAATTTATTTGTAAAGTCGAATTATGAAAAAGAAATTTCCTTTTTTTACTTTTCTGAATTATTGCGAAGAATCTGTAAATATGCGATGAAACTGTTAAGACGAATTCTATATCCTCTACTCAATTGTTACTCGCCTCGCTTCAAATTGCAAAATATTTATCGTCGGATGTTCATAATAAAAAATGAAGAAAAAAAAAATGTATCATAACCATTCAGTAGATGGTATACGTGACTGGTCAGGCAAGTTACCGCTCACTATATCATAGAGTTATGCCTTAAGTATTGTAAGCATAATATTCTGTTTCTAGTTCAAATATATTTTATATCGATTATGTTAATGGTAAAGTTTAATTTCTTTATGATACATTCGTATAACAAACTTGGAAAAATAGCTTGAACATATTTTTATGAAAATAAAAGCTTACAATATAACGATTTTTCACGGCTTCTTTTCTTCTGCTCTTTAATATATTTTTCTTTTTTGTTGTATATTTTTGTTTTTTGCTTTCGTCGATTAATTAAGAAATTTTTCATAAGCAACGATAAAGATGAAAAATAAATATCAATATATTTATCTTTATCAATTAAAAAAGCTAAATAAATTAAGAATAATTTAAAATTCTAATTGAATGCGATATTTAAAAGTAAATATTTATGGAATTTTAGCGAGTATGCGCTCAATGGACTGAAATTGTTAAAATTGAAGTAAAAATAAATGAAGCATAAAAACTTTTTTTCTTCCTAATCTCTCATAACGAATTGTCCATTAATTTTTTAACACTACAATTTCCCATTACGCTAACATTGATGAAAAATTACAGTTTCGTTGGATAAGAGTCTCGTTATCGTGAAGCGCGACTTCGGCTGGGGCACCGGAATCGTTGTTGACGTTTCCACTGGCACTATCCTGACGTGTTCTCATGTTGTTCCACTGGTAAGTCACGCTTGTCCTACATATATTATCTTTAGTACACTTTTACTTTAAAACGAGGGAGAAGAAACGTTAACTGCCGATTTAATAATTGAAAATCTAACGAAGAACGAAAAATGTGAGGATAACATTTGGCTATTCGGCCATTTTCTGTATTATAGGATGGACACGTGTGTAGTTAATATTATTATTTAAAATGAGTATGTGTTATTATTAACTAATGAATTACGTATCGAAGCAGCATTTAAAGTGTTTATGACATTATGCATCCTAATATTGAGAAGAAGAAAAAAAAAACATTTTGACCATTCAACTAATTGTAACTATAATAATGTTTGCTCGTTTCGTCATTCGATTTTTCATAATATTTTGCACAACTTCAAAATATTCTCGTTATTAGAAAAAATACGAATCCCTTTAAATAGATTAAATAATAGATTTATTTATATTGACTACTACAGGAAGAAGGTCTGAAAATTCTAAAAGACGAATGAAGATCCGAGAACAATTAAATAAATATACCAAAATCTAGATCCCTAGAGCCAATGACAATTTCATGCTCTAAATATCCTAGTAAAATCTTCGTGAGAGTTGATTCTTTAGGCGTTAGGTTCTCCCTCCGCAATTTTGAAATTCTTATGATATTTTTGTGGCAGCCGCTAGGCAGTCGTGTGAAAGTCGGCCTATTCGAGGACGAGCAGAGGAAGAAAGGTGAGAAAATGAAGGCGGAAAAGGCGTGGGCGTGGACACGACTCGTGTACAGAACGTGCAACAATCAGCCCTACGACGTCGCGGTACTCAGACTCGAATCTCAGCGGAACGATCTGAGACCTCTGTCACTTGCGCCAAAGATACCCAGCAAAGGTAATTGCTGATACTCCCTGAGACACAGATTCACTCACCTATTTATGCACGCATTTATTAAGTGACATTTTGGTTAATTTTAAAGCCAAGCGTATAAAAGTTACGATTGGGATACATTTCTTATTGAAAGTTTGGAGTGACATTATATAATATACTAAGTCTAAGCAAGTAACGAAATTTTTGGAGATATTTTCCAAACGAAAATAAAGTTTAAGAGGTTAAATATCTCTTTTAATGTAAGATATTTCTTACGGCTTTTAAAATTTACATTATCATTTTATCTTTTTACGGAAAATTTTCCATTGTTATGAATGAACAATTTATGTGAGCGTACGAGCATATTTCACGAGCACCTTGAATTAGATTTATAGTATGGGAACAACAAGATCTTCTGAAGCCATTATTTTTCTAATATTCCCTACTAATTATTTGAGTCAGTAGTTAGTTAGTTTATAACAAATATTTATAAATTATAAATGTACAGCATAATACTCAAAATCTATTCTAATTTGGTATAGATACTTTTTGTTTTATCTTTATTACATCGAAGGGTATTATTTATTCTAGATTCTAGAAATATTTGATTTAGAAAGAACTTCTTTTAAATATCAAGTACAGGCGTCCAAAAGATTTAATAATAATATTTCTTTTTAAAACTAAGCCATAAATATTATATATTCGGATTAAAAAAGAAAACCTGCCTAAAAAAGAAGTAATTACCTCGGTGTATTTGGAAAGAAAATTTGGGAAAAGGAATTTTTTTTCATGCATATTTCATTATTAATGACTTTTAGCGTTCATTTTCTCAAGAGTTTAAAGAATTAAAATAATAATAATACTAATGATAATATTAATTTCATATTGAGAGTAGTGGAGCTATTTCAAAATAATATGAGATTCAATTCATTCGGCAATGAACTTATTGTCGTGCCATTCATTGCTCGTCATTTGACGTTTATTGATAAATGGGACAAATATGTACAGAGGAAATGCCTAAAGGAATGAAAAGGAAAAACAAAACGTAGAGAATAATGGAAAGTCAGAACGAGAAATTGTCTAGCACCTAATAACTTACGCAACAATCATAGTTTAATTATGGACTCGAAGGACTACACATTGCTCCTGGCAGCATCCTTGTGCTTCGTCGCTTATCCAATCCTTGATTAAAATTTGTTATTGTCTATCTTGACTTGAAATACGTTTTCATCAATTTTTTTTCTTTTTTTTTTTTTTATTCTATTTATTTAATTTAAAAGGTATAACTTTATATTATGAAACTTAAAGATTCGCATTCCTATAGGAATCCGAGACCCTGAAAAAATAACATGTTAGTGAAGAGATCCGTTTATTATTGATTCAGCGACAATTGTACTATTAAATAATCATGTGCCACCGCACACTTTTCACACTGTCGAACGTACTCGTTATTATCTAACTTTTGCTACATTTCACTCCGCGACAATTTTCGCAGACACAAAATCATGTTTCAAGGCATTAGAGAAGCATCGAGCCAATGATGTTTATTGTTTAAATGTTTAGATGATATTTGCACGTTGAGTTACTTTCCGTTTAGAAATGTAATTTTATTAGAGCCAAGAGACTCTTCGTGACAAAATAATGCAACTGAAAAATAATTCTGTTTCGTCTTCTTAACATTTGAGCGACTAGTCGACAAACACATTTTTCTTAATTTAACTCGACGAATATACTATTTTCGCACGTAATAGATAATGTTATGCATACTTTTACTAAATACATCGTAATTGTCAAAGATTCTGACCCATCCATTTTCAATCGTTTTAAAAAATGTTCTACCAGCCGTCTTTTTTCTCAAATTTCAACACAAATTTCAATTAATAATTGTCTGTCAATGATTAACGTGTTTTCGAGTTCCCCATGTTTTGGCGTCAAAAAAGCCATTTATTACTTTAAGCGACACAATGCTTAAAAAATTAATGCTTTATATCAATATTTTTTAAATTCTCCACTGTCAAATTAATATTTTGCAGTCATGAAGAGTGAAGCTTTTGCTTAAATATTGGCAATAAAGGTTTATATTATTTATGTACAAGTCGTAAGTATTACATTGTCACTTATTGCTCAATATATAATAAAAAAAATGTGGCAATTATAAACTTCAAATAACAAAAGATATATTAATATAACAATAATTTTAATCAATTTTATTATTTTATTTTATGCGCAAAAACTTGATTACAACATTTGCCTCTTCTCCTACTCAAATCCTTCTATCATTGACAAAATTAAGTATACGATTGTACTCGAAACCACTCCGCTGTACTATTTATTACATAAAATATTTCCATTGTAATAAAAAAATCTCTGTACATCACTTTTACATGTACACTCTATCCCGCTTATTGGTAGTTTGAAAAGATTCCGACGGTATCTATACGAATGGTTATATTTAAGATTATTGAAGGATGCGTCAGGATAGTGAAGCAGTAACGTTAATTTGAAGGGAGATCATCATAGAAGGGAGCGCGAAAGGCGGCGCGCAGGACTCGCGCTTATTAAATGACGATTTTCCTCGAGTGCTCGAAACAGTCTAATGAATCGTATCCTACTTGACCTTGGCAGGCACAAGGGTAATGACGCTGGGCTTTCCATTCTTCGGAGCAGCAATTCCAGCGAGTTGTAGTCGCGGTGTCATTTCGCATCACTCGAGCTGCATGATCCAGACGACCTGCTGCGTCCAGGGCGGCGCGAGCGGCGGTCCTGTCATCAACTGCGACACAGGCGAGATGATCGGCCTAATTGTTTCTAACGTCGTCTCGACCACGGAATCTGGTGCTCTCTACCCAAGGTTCAATATGGCCGTACCCTCGACGGTTATCCGAGAGCCCTTGATAAGATACATCTACACTGGCGGTACGTTGCTATTCTTAGATCGCGAACTTCGATCAACTATTGCCAATTTCGAACATCAATCTGTCGATCTTTGAAATTGTATTGGTCGTGCATTTGATGACAGTAGATCATTAAAAAAAAAAAAGCTCTTCAAAAACTCGTTGCTCATGGTAAATGTTGGCCAAGCTGATTTCACTGCTATAGATAGTTTTTCTTCTCTGAACTTGAGGAAAAGCTTTCACTTATCAACAACTCTATGACCATTATGATTTATAATTCACAGCGAGCTATTGTTCCAGTTGATTATCATAAATGACATAGCTTGTTAAATAATTACCATGTGCACTAATAATACTACAATTATAATAGTTTAATCATTTATTTCCGAATGTTCTGTAAACTATTGCATTTAGTGGTCGTAAGATTTTAAAGAATATTTCATAATTTGACGAATATTAACTGAACGCTACTATAGATGAAACATATTCTTGAGTGTCTCCCTTGATATCATGATTTAATGTTAAAAAACAAAATGTATTTAATGCATTTCAGATGTCAAGTGCCTAGATAGCCTTTCAAGTGGCGATCCCATGGTTTGGGAAACGTGGAATTTTAATTTAACACCAAGATCAAAGATGTAGCTGTTATATAAAAGGAAGTATTTACATTATTTTTACAGACTTTTTAAAAATGTTTCTATGCTCTTAGAATGTTGATATCATTTATAATACATTTAATGCGAAATAATAATAAAACGATAGATTTTATAATGTAATTTCTCAATTTGACTACGTGATGTGCGGTAAAAAAAAGAATGTTAATAAATATTAGTTGTTTATTTAAGTAATAGTGAATTTTTGCTCTTCATTCGATACACGATAATTTGATTTTCTTCTTATAGAGAAGTTCATATTAAAATTAAATCTTATATAATTATTCAAAGACTAAATGCAATTATACTTTACTAAATTACAAAATACAATTTAGTCGAATAGAAATGAAATATATGCTTAGACGTACATATAATTTGTAAGTCAACAACAAAGTTGCTAGTTGCTACTTTTAATGGTTAATATCAATTTGCAAATATGCGTATCAAATTTGATAAAATAAAAACAATCATCATTTAACTTTTTTTCACACACGCTCCTATGCCGAAAGAACAACATATATATATATAATTATAATATAATTAATTAATATATTATAATATAATAATATAATATATAATATAATATATTATAATATAAAATATAATTTATAATATAATTATAAAAAATCAAATATTATACAGACATATATATACCAAAAATATTTTGGAAAAATAATTTAAGATTTTAAATAGGAAAAAATGCATAGAATACTGATTTATCATATATAGTCGTCAAGATTCTATATTTTAATATGTTTTTGTATTGTTCGTTATATCAGGCATTATATTAGCAAAAACAAAGTTGAAGTATATAATTTAACAATAAGAAACCCCATGTACTGTAATTCTGTATGAATAAAATTCAATAATAAAAATAAACAAATATTATTCAATATTTTAAAAAATTCAATGGTATTTTTTTTATTAAAATTTATTATTTTGCAATGAGCTTAATAAATAGATTGTGAACGTAAGATTACTACTATATAAATATGATATAAATTACATATTATCAATATAATTTGCAATAATATTAATCATAGGTTATGAAATATACAATAATGATGGAATACGATTAAGAAATACTTTCAACTAAATATGAGTGCTATTTAATATGAGAAATATGTATCAAATCGAAAAACAAAACAATTATAAATAAAGAGCACCAATGCGTTAATTACTAGCACTAGTTAATAATTAAGTGTTTATATAAAAAAAAAACTTGATTACCACTTGATTAAAATGGCATAAAATGTATTTAATCATAATAATTAATTCCAATGCAAAATAATTTAAACCAATCATATGGAAAAATATAGAAAACATAATAATATATATTACATAAATAAATGTATTACAAATTGATTATGAATTATAAATCTAAATAGAACCATATGTGTATAAAAAAAAAAAATTGAAAACAAAATTGTAATATAATATTTAATTAACATGAAATTTATGAGTAATATGAACATTTAAAAATACTAGTACAGTAAATTTGAAAAATAATTGGTACTTGTAAGAAAAAATACATCAATGCAAATAATAATAAAACATATATAAATGATATATAAATAAGAAAATATCATGATTTAGAAAATATAATTCATATACAATATAAATTATAATAAAAAACCATGGTCATTTTTTTTAATGCTTGAATTAATTTTAAATTATTTTATAATCATTCAAATATTTAGGTAAAAAATTTATCAATATTTTATTGATATTAATTTATATTATATTATGTTTCATTTATATTATTATTAATAAATATTATTATCTGTTTACTATTGTTATACATAAAAACCATGATTTTTTTTCTTAGATGAGCTGATTTTTATGAATTATAATTTTCAATGGCTTGAGTCATAAGATACTTACCCACACAAATTGTCTTTCGAATATTTAATTTTAAATAACACCACAAATTTCTGTATTTTCTAATTTCAAAATACTTAAAATGTTTTTCCATACGCACTGTGCACGAAAGCACTCAACTTAACACACACGCACGCACACGCATATATGTTTGTAAACAGCGATGTTAAAAAAAAAACTTTAAAAAAGGGATTTATAGCAATGTTATTTTTCACAAATTTTATTTTTTCAATGACAAATATTCTACAAAAATAGAAAATTATACGTGTGGTTTTCTTTTAAATAAACTGTTCAAAATATGGACGAATTCGATTATTTTATTTGGAGGGCAATTATAAATATTGATTAAGCATCTTAATTTACAAATTATCCTTAATGTTTTATAAGAGCGAATCTAACATACGATTCGTTTTGCATGAGGTACGAACATATTATCAAATATTACAGTAATTAATCGCTTATGAATAATTATTCTATTTTTATATATAATATTAAAAAAAAAAAAAAAAAAAAAAAAAAAAAAAAAAAAAAAAAAAACGAAAGAAATTGTCAAATATTTTTATTTCTTCATCAATTATTTATTTGGTTTTACTGGCTTTATTCATAATTATTGACATTAAAGATAATTGAAATTTTTAAGAAAATTCGTTATTATTTACTGCGTAAATAAGCTACGAAGATTCCTACACAATTGACAATTCCTCCTCATTTGTCACATTACGTTTACAAAATCATATACAAATTTTAATAAGTACGATTACTACTATTTAGTTTACCATATAAACATAAATGATACTTTTAAATTCATAATGAACTCATTATGAGATTAAATGATATTGTTTAGTAAATTATATTCATTATTTAAACTATATTCAAATAAAAAATTTGTATTTTACATTTAACATCTTCAATCAATATCAATTAAATACTTTTTTTTTTAAAGCTTAAAACTTAAATGAAAATAATAAAATAATTTAAGAAAGCAATATAAGAATAATAATATAAGAAAGCAAAAGCTTATTTATATTCGTTTCAAGCGCAATGATATATTATCGATTCAATATACTAAAACTTAATTTAAAATCACAATTACAAAAGAGCATAGTCTTAAAATTTGAGTTTATGAATCATTTACATTAGTTGCAATACACACGCATACACACACACACGCGCGCGCGCGCGCGCACACACACACACACACACAAAATCCATTACATACATACATATATATATATATATATATATATAATAGATTTTAAATATAATTTTTAATTTACTATAAAATTATGTCGCATTATCGTTAGAAGAAGAATGTTTTAAAAATATATTTGTTCATATCCAATAGAAAGAGGTTTATAAAAAAAAAAATTTACAATCGTTATTTATACTGTTAACTGCAAAAATCATTTAAAATAATTGAGCTATTGTTAAGTACCTATTATTAAAAGTGGCTCATAGTCAATTTCAGATTCTGTCATAAAAACTAAGAACTTTTAATTTATATTGAAGATTAAAGTTCGTAGAGGACAAATAGAGACTTTCTGGGACGGAGTCAAATCTGAAAAATGAAATGTGCACTGAGAAAAAATTGTTTACAGTTAATCAATATAAAAAATATATTAGATTAAATTTATATATTTATTTATAAAAGAAATGGAATTATAACAAATTTGTATATTTTTTTTTCTTCCAAATATTGTATTTATAAGCATTGTCTCGATGGTAAGTACACAACAAAACGTATAAAATTTAAATAATTAATTAATAGCCGTATAAAATCTTATTATATTAAAAATTTGGTATTATTCTCTAATATTGCACTAAATTTCTAATACAATTATTTTCTCAGTGCAGTAAACAATAAACTATAATGAAAATCGTGACTTGATTATAAATACTCAGTAATACTTTCTTCCAATTATTCGTTATAAAAATTTTTAAGTTTTTAAGCTGCACAAACGAAATATGTTATTAAATCCAACATATTGTTACATAAATTAAATTACGCAGCTACAATTAAAGCGAGTGTCTTTACATTGTAACAATTAAATGCTCCGAACGATATTAATTAAAAAATAATAAAAATTTGCTGATTATTAATATAATTTTCACCAATGTCCATTATTACAAAATGTATTTACAATAATAAAAAAAAAAATACAAACAATTACATAGATATACGAGAATTGTTTAGACTGTGCTATTATTTTATTTAAAAAGCAATATATTCTTTCAATGAAATTTGAACGTCTAAAATTTATAAAAAGTTTCTTAAACATCTTTACATAAGGTTTAAAATATTGTTTGCATGTAATTGTTTATTGTTTTCTTTATATATAAATATTTCATTAAATATACATACAGACAAACTTATATGTATACGTACGTGAATACATGCATATATCTACATATGCGTACACACGTGCATTGACAAATCTAAATACGCATGTATATATCATAATTTAATCAAAGAAAAGCTTTTTGTTACCAATTAAAACTTGCTGAAACTGTTGTTCATTTTCAAAATGCATACATCAGTATGTAAACACGTGTTTACATTTACGCAATAACTAGTATATTACGTAATCTAAATAAATAAATAAAATAAATTGAATTTTTATTTATGACTTCTCCATAAGCAATTAATAAACACATTTTTCAATTTTTCAACTTTATATAATTCAGAGCAAATTTTTATATTTGAACAGATTGCAGACACATAAATATTAATATTCTAATTACTATTCTATAAAGTACTTTTATTAAAACCTCGCAATTTATTTGCAGTATATCTTGGCAGCCTTGATAAAACTATCGTAAAATTTACCGTAATATTCGTCAAAATATAAAATATGTTACGAAGAATATTCAACTTAAGTTATTCATGTCTATGTATATAGCTGCTTCATAAATTTTATATCCAATACTTAAATATGAACACAAAGTGAATTTTTATACTAAAAGATAAAAATTTCATTCCAAATTATAAAATAAGAAATATATGTGTTTATATATATAAATACACATATAACCTTAGACACGCGTATGTATGTATATATAAATCGACTAAATTTGCCTCTAAATATTGAAAAACTTGTTACTCCGACGACTAGAATCGTTAGAGACTTTATTAAATAATGATTTTTAAATAGATTTAAATAAACGAAACAAAATTGTTATGGAATAGTAAATAATTTCAAATAAATATTATCGACATGGATTATAAGTTAATTATGACATATTTACCAAATAATGCAAAATATTATACAATTATGTGATTTCATTACATTAAATGAATCTCGTCTTAATTTACAAAGGTCCCATCTCTAATAAAATAAATTACATGTACTTTTAGCTATGAAAATATTCATTTGCAGTTAATGTTGTCCGGCACTTAATAATAAATATTTCTATTATTATAAGTTTTAAGATAAATACGTCCGATAAACTAATTTATAAAAATGTTTAAATATTATCTTAAAATTCGTTTATTATCGTTAAGTGATTTTAGATCGAATATTAAGCAATCGTATGTGTAATTTAAAGTTGCTTAAATTTATATAAAATTTTTCATTTACACTCTCCCACGGTAGATTTTCATTTGTATTCATTCAATTGTATAAAATCATTATACAAATGTATTTGATAGATCATAAATATCTACGAATTTCAATTACTTTTATTTTTGCTTCATCGAAGCTTCGGTAAATTATTAAGAAAATCGTTACTATAAATGCGTGAACATTCGATTTTATATAAATTGAAATGGTTTTTGCCATTGGAGCATTATTAACCGGTGATTATGACAACCGAGTGACAATTATATCTTAAAATGACATATCCGCGTGCCTAATAGCGAATAGGGGCCAATTATCATTTTTGTTGATAAATTCAAAATGCCATTCAAATGACTGTCACAGTAGGTCTAAATAGACAAATGAATATCAATTGGCCTTTCTCAAGCGTTTTTCATCAATTAAAAATGCCTAAATTTCACCAAAGCTATGGAAATGCGGCTCCTTTTATTGCTGATAGCCGTTCACCTCCTTCTGCTGTTGATGCAGATCTTCAGATCTGCAGATATCAATGCTATAACCGGTAATGCTGTCGGGACTCTGGAGAGACGCAGCATATAACGGATTCACCGGTGTCGAGTTGATATCGAACTGCGTCGAGTCGTAAACGCTGTGGTTCTGCAAGCAGAAAAGAGGGAACACTTTCTTTTTTTTGCGTAGATTTATCGCTCGATGCATGTCTCTGCATTCGTACATAGTTTTTCGGATAATACTCTAACATGTCAAAATACACTCTACATTATGTCTACACTTGTTCCAGATGTGTTGCTGCATATATCGTTTATTTTATAGGACATCGATGTAGCGATATTTTAACATTGTTACAGTATTAAATTGGCAATGTGATAATGTGTAATTATTAATGTTATTGCCTATTGCAATTCTGATCTATTCAAGCGCTTGAGGAAGCTAGCAGCAGAGATCGAGGCATTTTCTGCAAAAGATTGTCTACGTTAATATTTCATTCAAATAATGATGTCTCTAACGTCGAATTTAAATGAATTTTAACGTTCGTATTAAGCCAGATTAACGTCATCCTTAAATATTAAATAATACTTGATAACAAATATATATATATATATATATATATATATATGTATGTAATTACTTTCCTTTCTTTTTTCAAATATATATAGATTCGCCATTAACAGCACTTTCACTTTTTTCTCTCTTTTTTTATTTCTCATACGGATAAGTGCTTGCGATTAAAAGATTCTTTTATAAATTATAAAGATTTTCATATTTAGTCATTCAAACAGCTGGAAGAATTTCAAATATTTAGCAAACAAAAGATTTATAAAAAGAATAAAATTTTAATTTTTGATAAGTGATCAAGATTTTCGAGTTTTCGAGGTCGAGCTTTAAATAAATGAAACAAATTGCATTGACTACTAGAATAAACGTTTAATCGAGAAAATGGACATCAACCTAATTATATACAAATAACTGAAATTGAGGTATGGATTATATCATACCTTCGATAAAAAAAATATTAAAAAAAAATAAAAATTAATTAAAAAAATTACGTAACTTCAAAAACGAACGAACGCTATTACAATCATGAATTAATGTTCTGTACACTTTTTTATTATTGCAAATAACTTATTGTTCGCCACAATTTTGTATCATAATGAAAAATGTTTATCCAATCTTGAGATAAATTTTCTTTTCAGATTGTTCTCGACTTGTTTACTTACACAATATATATGTGACAATCGATTTTTGATTACTTTTTCAATTGTAATATTTGAAACAATCATTGGCATTACTTTTTTAATAAGTTCACATAGTACTACATATGTTATTTAATATATTATTATATATATATATATATATATATATATATATATATATATATATATATATATATATATCTGTTTTCGGAAATATTTAAACAAATATATATTACTTTAGGAATTTTCTAGTTGTGGAAGTATTTCCTTACGATATATTAATACTATAAACACTATATTTTTATTATTCATACGTTATATAACTTTCTATATTGAATCCCTGATAAATACATGCGAAAATTTAAAGCATTTCCTTATATTCACTAGCTTAATTATATATATATATATATATATATATATATATATTACATATACATATACGTGCACACATTTTATAAATTTATATAAAAACCTTGGTTATTGTATAGTAAAGTGTCGTAATTACGTAAAAATAAAAAAATAAAAAATAAAAATAATTAAAAAAAAATAAAACAAAAAAACTTTTTAATTTATATTCCATAAAATATTGATGCATTTATTATTGTTTTTCCTTAATTTCATTTTTATATTAAATTTTATAATAATATTATATGAAATATTAATAAATATTCATAGAATGCATTTTAAACTAAATATTGAATTATTGAAGATTCTCCACTTTTATTATGCATTGTAATATTTATTATAAAAGCGATTGAAAATTTTTAATTAAAAATAAAGAATTACAATTGACTTTTATACTTATGTAATGTGTGCGCAGAAATAAAAAAAGATGAAAATCCAAAAGATTCGCTTAATAAATGTATGAAAATATTCTATCCTTAAAATTTGGTTCGTTCAAATCTTTTGATTCTCGTTTAACGCTAAATATAAAATAAACACAGCAATTAATAATCGATTCTAATGTATAAAAACTTAATATTATGAGAATTTGTACTTTTACTAAATATAATGTTATTCCTACTAGGTTCTTGTCATAAAATAATCATATCATGGGAGTATAAAACTTTTAAATTACCAATAATTGCCTTTCAATTTTCTAGTAATACGAATAACGAAGACAAAAAATTGTTTAGTTTAATAAATAAATAACGCGTGCTCAACTTTTCTTTAACAAATAATCGAATACTCAGTATTTTGTACATAATATAAAAATGGTCGACTATTCTCAATTTACAATAAAAATTGTTAAGATATTAGGCAACCATCTATCCCAATCAAGTTTTGTTTGTTTAAAATTATTTTAAATATTTACGCATTAGTATATCTATAATAACAGATGTTGCATGAAAAGACGTCACGGACAATGTAATTTTACTTACAATCTTTACCCACGTACGGCAGACTAGAATCTTAAAAATTATAAATGAAAATTAAAAAAAAAAAAAATAATAATAATAATGATAATGATAATAATGATAATGATAATGATAATGATAATGATAATGATAATGATAATGATAATGATAATGATAATGATAATGATAATGATAATGATAATGATAATGATAATGATAATGATAATGATAATGATAATGATAATGATAATGATAATGATAATGATAATGATAATGATAATAATAATGATAATAATAACAACAACGACAACAACAACACCAATAATAATGACAATCACTATCAGATCCACTGTGTTAATTTGTTACGAAGAAAAAAGAAAAAGAAAGTAGAATTAGGAATTAATTCACAGCGCTTCACTGCGAGAGGATGGTGATGACGAATTCTTAGATTTCGGCGGGAGCATCGTCACTTCCACATCATCATTGTCATCATTATCGTCGCTACCGCTATTGCGCATCTGACTCAAATATTCGCTTAGCCCGGTAGCGGCTGAATATTTATTTCTCTCGCTTTTCTCAACGCGAGTTTCGCTACGCTCCAAAAAATTCTGCAAATTACTCTCCAGCTTCGTGGAGCCGCTATCTTGCTTAAGCGTCGCTAGACTGCCGCCACTCGTCCCCGCTATCGGCAGACTTTGGTTACTTTTGTTGCCGCTGGCGGAGAAGAGATTGGCTTTGCTACTGTTGCTCCCGGGCTTGAAAATGAATTTGCTGGCTGTGCTTGGCGATAGTAGCAAATTCGAAACGCTAGCGGTGTCCTCCTTGAATCCACGTTTCGCATCTGGCGTCAAGCTTAGCATTCTCAAGTCCGGGGCACTCGTTTGGATACCCAGTCGTGATGTGGGATGAATTCGCCTTTGGGCGCAGTATTCTGGATAGAGGAGAGTCGCGTGCGACGAGCTTCCGGCTAATCTCGCCGCGGCGCTTTTGGGGTTCGGCTTCATTAGACACTGGAAATGAAAGAGCGGAGCGTGAAAACACGGGGTATGGACCTGGTATATGTAATCGCTGTCCGTCTTCAAGGAGGAGAAGCTCTGCTGGTGGGGTAGGGAAACCGTGTCCTCATCCATCGCATCGTCTACCTGGGCCTTGTAGGAGAACATTATCGATGGCTGCGATACTCTAGAAAAGCACATTTTATTATTATTATCGTTGTTGCTATTATTATTAATACTACTATTGATATTGCTATTATATTGTTATAGTTAGAATTATTAACATTATCGATATTCTCATTTCTATGACCACCACTACCACCATCGTTATCATAATATTATTATAATAATCATTATTGACGTTATTGTTATGAATTTTTTCGAATTATTTTAAATAATTGTAGAATGAAACAGTCACTACAATATATATGAAATAAGTCATGAGAATTGCTCAATTATATGAATTCTTATAAATACTTTATTCGCTACTAGCTCACTTTCCATATTACTAAATTGTCTCGGATTATCTTTTTGTTTATCCTTAATAGAGCTTAATATCCTTTATTTTTCAATCACGTAATATTTTATATTTAATACATTCTCGTTTGTTATGTACAATTTCATATGATCCAATCTTACATCAATTGATAATTAAATAAATCGTTACTTATATTGATTGACTAAGACGATTGTTCACTGACACTTATTTGGAAAAATATTTTTAACTTTTTGTATTATTATGACACCGTTCCATCCATCTCTAATAATATCGAATAATTAATTTAATAATTTAACAATAAACGATTTATCCAGAAAAATTGAATAAACAGATATTACAATTTTAGGAAGAATTTATGAGAAAAATTAGTTACATTTAAATATGTGAGTCGGTAATGACAATTCTTAATTATTCTTAACGATAATTTAGAAGCTCAGATTATTTAAATTTATCATAAAATTATCATTTCAAATAAATTAGCATAGAGATTATTCTTAATGATTTTAATCAATTTTCCATATACAATGTTATATTGCATGTAAATAATCATTGCATAAAATAAAAAGAAATCCATATTAAAATACTTTCACATACCCTAAGAATTCTGTAAGGAATGTGTGATATACTAAAGGCGTAAATAATGTCAAGTACATTGCAGCTGTTAGATCGACAACACATAGTCCTGCAGGAATTTGAGTATAGTTTAATAAACCAGCCCCTATTGATTGAACTAAATCCAATGTTGCCAGAAGGCTGGTATATACATAAAAACCTTTTCGAGCTAAAACACAATTAATCATCAAAGCCAAATTAACTATCGGACATCAATGCTTTTAAAAGACTACACAAAGATGATTTTTACTGATAAAAATGATTAAACATCATTATTAAATGCATCGTTAAATTAAGGAAACAATTGATAAGTTTAAAAAATCTTAAAGTATTATAAAGTTTAAGTCTACTTACTAGGGAGAGGGAGTCTTTCTCGTAATCTTGTGCATGGCAGAATCAGTATAAATACATAAATCTAAAAATTTACAAGAACCGTTATTTTAAGCACTTTAAAAAATGTCTACAAAATTAATGAAATATATCATTACCATTGTAAAAACTATGCTGCTACAAAACCAGAACATCATTCCACCATGACCAAACACGTAGAAATCTCTGCTCGGTATATGGAACGTATCATCGGGTAATACTAATTCAAGAGTACCTTGAGTTATTGTAAAAACCAGCGCTATAAAAGATGTTGCTAGAAGAACTCTACGTATGCTCGAACGGCTGTCCAGATGACCTGAGATTCATCGGTAAATTATAAATTTGCAAATGCTCATTTTTTTTTATTAAAAAGGATGGCTTTTGAAAGAAATTTAAAGAATAAGAGAAAATAAATTATATAATTATATAATACACTATATCGTCGATTTACAATTAAATAACGCATGAAATGAATTAGCTATTTCTTCGAATAAAATACACAAAGTATGAAATTGATTGATTGCTAAAGAATTTAATGATTTAAGGTCTTTGACGCTAATACGGTTCCTTTATTCTTTATAATTAAATGACTAAGCGAATGTATGAATAAGTAAGCAATATCAACGACAGTACGTAAAAAATCTAACGGAATAAATATTTATTATAATAAATCAGTTTGAAATTGAGAATAAATTTAGAATTTATGTCGCTCGTAGGATGTTTCTCCAAGGATCTTATCTCATATTTAAATTAGTAATAAAAATTCTTACCAAAAGCAAGGCCAAAAATGACAACGCTCATTTCTGTGGACAGTAAGAAAAATCTAACCGTGACCCATAACACCTTATCCGCCTTACCACCGACACTCGTAGCCGCATTAATTGTCATTGACACTACACATCGAATAACTGATATCACAACACTACAAATAACAAGGCCATAAAATGCTAAATATATAGGACTACTTGTCGCTCTGAGTTTTAGCCTAGCTCGATTAAATCTTACAGCAATAAAAAGAAGAAATAGAAGATTCGGTATTAAAATAATCACATCCCATATTCTTACTCTGTAATAAAAGAGAATGTCATGGTAAATTGTCTTTTATATCTCTAATAGAAACATATCGATAATAGGAGATAAAATATTATTATAAACTATGAAAATATGAGTGACCTTGAATCTCTTATATCCTTGTACAATATTAATTTACAAAAGTGCTCCTCCTCGTGAACAGTGGAACTTATATTTGGATCTGTTGTTGTACTCAAGTCTCTGATCTGTCTCCATCCTTCCGAGACTTCTAGCTCTCCATCGCCGTACATCTTAAATATTTTTCAGTACAACGTCTCAGCCCTTTCACCTCATATCCTTGACCTTGACTTTTGTGAAAAGAATAAAATATCATTATTTTAAACAAATACATATGCAAATGTAAAATTATTGTAAAATACATAAATGTAATGTAATGCATAAGGAATACATTAAGGGGAGGGCGGGAGGGCGGAGATTATTCTTCACACTTCTGTATAAAAAACACAATAAGAAAAAGATTAGAAAAATTTAACAAATCTTTTATAATTTTTTTGTAGTTCATTATTAATTTTAGTCTATTTATTTTACTTTAATTTAGGTAAAAGAAAAAAATGAATATTTAAATACAATGATATTAATTAGAAAATCATAATTAATTGTATATAATTAACAAGCCACGATGTATTGTTTTCTTTATTTTTCGAAACATTCGCTTCATTACATCTATAAAATGCATTTGGCTAAAATGAAGGCTAAGATTCAAATGAATAACCACACTATTCAATAAAAAGCTCTTTATCCTATCCGTAACTAGCGATAAACCGATGAATATAATAAATAAATAAAGATGTAAATAACAAGAAAAACCAATATCATAACCTAAACTTCTTCTCACTGTAATAACAATAATGGAAAATTAAATTTGCAATTACGGAATAAGGATAACTATTAATTTTCCAATTGCGATGGAAACGAAGAGGGAATAGTCTGGGTAACGTGTGTCGACAAACAATACGTTAAGCCTGACAAAGAAAGATGAATAGACGTGAGATATTTTAATAGGAAGATCAATGAGTCTCTTCTACGACCAAAACTTTGCCACTTACCTACTCGATTTCTTGCCTTCAGCTTGTGAACGCAGCTCAATTCTCAACGTTGACCATCGCCTTTGTGTTTGATATTATCTAGCTTACGCCATAAATAAACACTCCAGACCGTATACTTCACGGTGAAGATGAATATCAGCACGCGAATATCTGGATGCATACCATTTCTCCGAGTTAATCCGAGTTTGAGGCAAAAATTCTTAAGAGACGAGAACAGCGAAATCAGAGCTAGTGGATTCCAATGTTCAGAACCAACGCAACTTTTCGCAAGTTTATTAGACATGTTATATCATCGGAGTTCGGACTTATCATTTCAAGTTACTTACCAGTTAAATAACTAGATCTGGTGACTTTTTACAAGCGAACTGCTTCAGCCCATTCGGTAGTGAACTACTACTCAAATGCTAATAATTCGGGATCTCGAATGATATTTTAGAAGATTATTCGCATTAAAGGACTTTTTCTTTTTTTTTCACGCGAAACAATGTACACTTATAATAATAGAAATTTGAACTTTTTTCCTAAAGCATTGCAAGCGGTCGCTTTTATTGTTTATTTTAAAATGCGCGGTTATCATGCGAAAATAATACAAAACTTCATTGCGCCGAATCGATAAAAAATTTGTGCAAGCATTGTATATACCGAGGACATTGAGTCTAAAGCGACGTACGTGTCCCGCTTGTTTTCGCTATATTTTCACTTTTCTTATTAATCAATTAGCTGTTAATATATTGTATAAAAATAGAATTTTATAAAAGAAATGTCGATATAAGTAGGTTTTAAAGTCAATTAAAGGTTATTTAAATTCCATCTGTCATAAATCATTCTGCGATATATTAAATAATGGAACTGTTTTTCTTTTTTTTACGTTAATTCACCTTTCCTTTGCTCAGCCCTTTCCTCTGCACATACATTAAAAATACAAAAGCGTTGAACCCACGGATTATCAATAAGCTACAAAAACTTCCTTTTTATATAAATACTAATATTTCTTTATGTAACTAATATGTCTTTATTACTTTGATTTTTCATAATATAAAGTAGCTGAAAACTATTAAATTCTCACTAATGAAGATATATTGTAATGGTAATTTTGATAATGTAATTTATAAATCCATCTATTTATATAATATTTTTCATTAATGTGATATTTTTCCAATCACGTTTATGAAATTGATCTGCACCGATAATGTATTTATTGTATAATTTTATTATAAATTTTCAAAGATAGAATAAAGACATTAATTATAATTGTCAATTTAATGTCTTATTTTAATCATACAATAATCCTCACTAAACTCTAGTTGATCTTTACTTGAAATCCTTTCTTCATTTACTTTCCAAGTCGAATATAAAATCACATTATATATTTGTGTAAAATGCTAATGAAAAATTAATTTCCTTTTAATATTAGAAACATCTATTTTCCACGTAATTCGTACAATTGAATGTTCCGCCTAGTAATGTTTGTGCACATGCGTATACAATCAATTTCATTTTAATGTTTAATGCTAGATCTAAACTTTTTCAAACAAGAAATATATAGATCATTTGTAACGAACTATGATAGCGCGATGAGTGTTTTTATTCGTGAAAGATTCCTCTAGTTACTTTAGTACGTTATTTTGTTATTTGATTTGGTATTTATTTATTTTTTTTTTTTTCTTTTCTTTTTTGTCTTATTTATAAAATTATCTTTTCTTATCGAGTGATTTAACCAACTTCCTGTTCGCAATTGCAACGGTGAGTAGCGCAAATTTCCTTAGCTTTAATTTTTTTTTCCTTTTTTTTGTTCTTTTTTTTAATTTTTGTGCATGCAGTAATTATTATTCGGACAAAATGTTGATAGAAGATCCAGACAAATCGTTCGATTTTCATAAATTAATCATTAAAATATTCGTTAAAAACTTATTCTTAACGTACATTCCCATAAAATAATAGATTTTCCTTGATTCAATGTAATTAATTAATAATCATAATTGGATCAGTTACACGTTGCTTTCTATTTCTAAATATCTGCTAAAATTTCTTGCCATTTATAAAAAATATCTGATTCTTTTTATTTATCTTTACTCATTCAATACGAGAGACTTGACGCTTGACCTTGAGTAAGGTATGCTCCAAATCTCTTGTACTACTACAACAAGTACATTATTGTTTTTTTTTTTTTTTTGTTTTTTTTTTGTTTTTTTTTTTTTTTAAGAATACTCGCGAGAGACTTAAAACCGTTGTTTCACCTTTTGTCTTTTCTAATTAGTGTAATGAAACGCACACGCGTATTTCTCTCATGATTTAACAGACTTAATCACCATCTCTATAATGCAGTCCTTTTTCTGTACGCCTTACAGCGTTTCTTTCTTGTGAAATCTTAATTTGGCATTTAAGTTAATACTTTTTCAGGCATATTGCTTTTGCCATTTGTCAAGCTCGAAATTATATTTGGATAGAAGAAACATGAAACAGATAAAATACATTTTCATTCGATAACTAAGATAAACAGAGAAGTGTATTATTAAAAATGTTTTTAGATGAAAAATTAAAAGTCTTATAATTGTGCTGATATTTTTTTACACTTATTGATTAAATGATCGATAATTTAAACTTTCTGAAAAAAAAAATGTTGTCACGCTAAGATATATATATTTTATGAAAAATTAATCGTATTGTTATTAAATTAAAGTTGTTTGATTATCTTATGACATTGATTTATCGTTTAATTATACATTATTAATATAAAAAGATAATAACGGCTATGATGTATTGCTAACAATGCTGTAATTGACAAAATGTTGGATTATTATTTTTTACGGATATTTTTAAAGTATTGCGAAAATTTATTTGAATTTAGTATAACTCCAATTATAAACATAGAGAGATTAAAAAGAGATCGAATATATATACTTGCATTAATGTCAAATTTATCATTAAGTTATCTTTATGTTGTATTTTTAAGTTTTTTAGGCATGTTTCAATAGTTTCGAATATCAGTACAAATAATTGTGATAATAACGTATCATTATACATTGTAGTTTCGTCTGATCTTAGAAATAGAATGAAATTACATGTATAAATTAGAACTGACATCAATATTATTGAAAATAGATACTCTCATCGTATGTGCATTAAATATAAACAAGATTAAACTGTTAAATAGCTAGACAACAACATATATATATATATATATATATATGAATAATGGCGATATAAACAATGTCAAAAAAAAAAGAAAAAAATTCATTGTTTCTTTTATTTTAAATATGACAATTAATTACTGCATGCATTAAAAATAATCATCCATTAAATTAAATTAATGTGGATATTTAATTTTTGCAATTTTTATATTTTTAAGGTTCTACTTTGTATATATGTGGTTAGACATGGCAATGAGTAACTGATCGAGTTACTTTTACAAATACGTATGAAAAACTAATTCGAAGAACGACAGGTGGAGAAAGTTTTCTCTACGTCGCCATTGAGCTTGATGATGGAAATATTGCATAAATATTATTAAAAGAAAAAAAAAAAAAAGAAAAAAGAAAAAAACAGAAAAAAAATTGGGCAAAATTAAATGATAAAATGTATCAAAGCTTACCAGCCTTGCACGCGTCCGTAGAATGTCGGTCAGAAACAGGCGTTCGGTTACTTCTTAATTGTGGAGTTAAGGTCAACGCAAAAGATAATTATGGTAATACTCCTCTACATCTAGCTGTTCAATTGAGCTACTTAGATAAAAATACAATGCAATGTATAATTAAGCTTCTTTTGGCTAAAGGAGCTAAAGTTAACGATCGTACAAATTCCGGTGAATCTGCTTTTCATTACGCAATAATTAATGGTGACGAGAAGTTAATCAAACTTTTTTTGAAACACGGAGCCGATGTAAATGCAAAGAATAGCGACGGAAAAAGTCCGTTGTACCTGGCTGTGCAGTATAGCAATAAAAGTGTTGTGAAAATGATGTTGGAGAGAGGGGCCGAAATAAACAACGGGGACAATAATGGCAATTCCCCTCTTCATGTAGCGATTGAAGTTGAAGACGAATCTATAATAAAAATCCTGCTCGAGGACAATGCGGACGTTAATTTTATTAATAATAATGGTAAGACTCCGCTGTCCTTAGCCTTTGAATTAGCTTATATGCGAAGTATATATAATCCCTGGATCGGCTTCTTTTCGATTAATTTAGAAATTAAATGCAGCAATAATACTTTTCAATTGCTATTGAAGTACGTAGCTAAACTAAGGCACGTGAATCGAGAAAATCTCAGAATAATAAATGATAATGAGAAATTGAATGTATTTTATGAAAATTGTCAACGAGAATTAGCGCAAATGAAGAGAAAAAATTTATCCGACAATATATCAATGTACAAAGTTTTAACCAAAGATATTGACACGATGATGATTTATTGCAGAAACGAATGTTTAATAAATATCTTTAAGTTTAATTTCCACGCCGATGAATTTCCAATTTATTATGATTTATTAAGGCAACGATTTTATAAAGCAGAAAAAAGAAAAATTGTATTAGAAACTTCGTCTATGATACTTGGGTATCTTTTCAAATCATTTTCATTACCAGAAACTATTATAAATGAAATCGCTCGCTACATGACAACAGAGGATTTATTAAATTTACAATATTGATAAAAACACAAGAAAATAATTTTTAAATCTAATTTCATAATGATTTTAGCTTAATCAAATTTTAAGATATCAATACAAACATTTGGTACGTTTGTTATTGTTTTTTATCTTTTTTTTTCTTTCTTTTTTCTTTTTTCTTTCTTTTTTTTAATTTAACAATAAAGTTGGGTAATTTATCATTAATACAATTCTTATATGTCAAGGAATAAGATAGAAAGTGAATATCATCGAAATTACTTATCTCTAATCTATTTTACTATTCCATTACACTAATCGGCTACTTTAAATTCATTTACTAATAATTCGTACAACTTATCGATAAAACATAAAACACATTTTTTATGTCAAATCCTTGCATTATTCGTTACATATTGAAGATACGCGTAAATTTTATTACAATAATTAATAATTAATCGAACATAAGATTCTAACGTGCTAAGCTCATGATTAAGTTTAATTTTTTAAAAGATGAGATTATACGTCGAAAAGTGATTTTGATATTTGCTTTAAATATTTCGTATTGTATGCTAATAATCATAGTAAGTTAAGATTATAAAAAAATATTTACAATTTCATATGTTAAAGTAACTGATTCTATTACAATCGTTTAATAATCCAGAAACCATCATTATATCAATTCTAGATTTTTATTAAAAAATATTACATTATATAAGTTGTAGCTATGCGGAAAAGTCAGTCATCGAGCATTTTATCGCATTAGTGAAATAAAAATTTTTTAATACCTCATTTTCTCCTATTATTTTCAATAAAATGCCCAGATGTACAATTTTGATATTTATTCTTATTTATTTATTTATTATATTACATTCATTTAAATTTTCATCTCTTTATTCTGCAATTTCAATTTCTTTACAAAAAAAAAAAAAAAAAAAAAAAAAAAAATTAATAAACATTGAAATAATTAAGAATCAATTGTGTGCGCTTTATTTATAAGATTATTTTTTTCTTTTTTCAAGGTCCTTAGATGAAATTCAGTTTCTCAGCTTGTCGAGATAATTTATTAATGTATGAAAAAACCGCCTTTTCGATATAAATAATTCTTTAATTATTTTTCATTGTTACGTTTTTCACACTAATGATAAACAAACCGGCACATTCATCAACTATTACATTTACATATATTTACATATTATTTTTATCATTTCAGAAAAGTAAATTTATGTTTCGAATTATTTGAAGTGTCCAGATTTCATCGTCCAGATTTCATCGTCAATTATTTAATCAATTTTTCTTTTTATGAGAATTATTTATTATTATTTATAAGAATTTATTCTGTATTCTGTTCGATTAGATTGTGAGTATGGAGTTCCGTTGCTAAGCAACGTTTCAAGGAATTACGACAAAAATCAATGCTCTCCTGAACGTAATAATTCAATTTAAAGAATTTTTAAATCGCTCAATGTATAACAAATTTCTGAAAAATTGTACTCAATAATTTTCTCGCACACGAACACGTTGTTCACAAATACTTTTTTAACTTGATTCGTCTACATTTATGGTTACTCCATTACCCGTGTTGTTTTTCATTTTTCTTTTTTCATTTTTTCTTTCAAAAAACAGCATAAAATTTTCCGTGCATTCTTTAAAGAATTTTAAACAGCCACAAAAATGTATTTATATTTTTAAAAGTAAAATCTTCGTTAATGAACCAACATAAAGAATTTGATTTTATGTTAAGAAGTTTATAATGATATAGGAATTTCGAATTTTGAATGCTCGAGCACTTTTGTTGTCAAATTAGTCTTATATAACCATGACGTCTTTATTGTATTTATTTTTAATGAAATTAAAATTTTTATTAAAATTTTCAAATAAACAATGATTATAATATTCCTGAAATTGTTTACCGAAGGCAAACTTCAATGAAATTTCAATCACGCAGTATCCTCCACCATTTCATACTTGGAACTTATCGTAATGTGTGCGTGCGCGCGCGCCCGCTCGCATGTATGTGCCAGTACAATAGAGACTTAAGTAAAAAAAAAAAAAAAAAAAAATAATAAATAAATAAATAAATAAATAATAAATACAAAAATGTCAGATTTTTTATACGACTTTACATAAAATTCTTAAAAAAAAAAAAAAGAAGGAAAAAAACAAGATTCACACCATGACACAACCTATGAAGCAGTGTACATATTGATTATCGATCGTGGTAGATAAGAAAATATTCCTTATCTCGTTATCCTTGCAGAAAAATGTGTAAACGATGTTGACTGCCCTAGGCATTCGCATAGTTAAAAAAAAAAAAAAAATGTTTCCCCACATTGGGTAGAGACATATTTGTTACCACTAATGCGCAATATGTTTTCGCACAAGCCAAAGTGAAACTAATTTTCCTATAAAGTCAAGCGTTACGACGATGTGTACCACAAGATGTCTCGTTACACTTAACATTCCCGTTGTGTGCAACGTACATTGCGATATTACAATGGTTTGCATTTAAATGGCGGGGGAGGGGGGGGGGAGGAAGGAAGGAAGCAGGAATAAAGTAGACGTTGCGCTTGAACAGACGACGGACGAATTGGCGATTGAGCATTGGGACTGGCCGTTTACGTTAAGCGCGACGGCAAATAAATATTTCTATATCTGTACTTAGATGCATTCGGAGGCTCGTTACACACGTGTAAATGGATGATCCCAAGGCTATATAAGCTGCCAGACGCGTGGGTACGTCCGTGCACATCCCGAGTCCAATCACGCACACGCAGCCGCAAGGATGCGCAAACACACACGCCTAGGTGCACTATAGGTGTGGTCTTGTATTATTTACGCATAAGTTCGTGCGAGCCGAGCGGCGTACTTAGTCAGCCTGACATCATAAATATGTATCATAACTCGAGCGTTATCGCACGAACTTTGACCAGGTATTTCTTCCCGAGCTTTGCCCTTCTTTCGACCGCGCTCGTACATTTGATTTGATATCGTTAGAGGGAGGGGGAGGGACGATGGGAGTGATATTGGGGGTGGGGGGATAAAAAGGTCCGCGAGCCCCTAGGTAGCATCGTTAAATTCCGGGCTCTCGTCGGGAACGCGAGATGATCGGCAATTTGCGCGAATGGATTATGGACGTGACGTTATTTGGCTAAAGTAACGATCGGTCGACGATGCTTGAATTGCTAAATTGCTTAAAGAAGTTACTCGTTCGATTCGACAAACCGAGATGAAAATTCCACGACTGGCACTGCCGTGTATTCGCCTAGAAATGTATTGGTGTGAATATTCGTGCGTGCGCCGACGTTCAATACGAAGCGACAAGTCGTGAAATATTTGACAATGCAAAGGCTATAATATCGATGTAGCCATAGCCATCGTCGTCGTAGTCGTCGTCATAGTCGTCGTCGTCATAGTCGTCGTCGTAGTCGTCATCGTCGTCGGTTCTCCTTTTTTCTCCGAGGCAGTCGAGACTCGGTAAGCGTCGCGTGCGGGTCGACTTAATGCCTAATGGAGTGACAAGGTAGCGAGATATGAGGAGTAACGCAGACCATACACGAATAGTAAATAATAATACACAATTATTGTAGGAGTAGAGCCGGATAAATAGTGAGAGATTCCCGTGTTCGTTGATGCCGAGGGTGGCCGAGAGTGGAAAGGGATTGGAGTGCGCGGGTGCTAGCCTTAAGGGCAGCGAGGGGAGGGACCGTGTTGGTGACTAGCGCGTAAGTGCAAAGAGGCTACGAATGTTCTATTAATAAACACCTGCCTAACTTTTCCGACGTACTTCTTCTGCTTTCTAGTCAATATTACTGGCGCTCGCCTACATGTGTGCCTACAGAGAGAGAGAGAGAGAGAGAGAGAGAGAGACAGCGCGCGCGCGCGCGCGCGCGATGATTATAAATACTTTTGTGCTGCGTCGGTGTTGGTGTTGGTGGTGGTGTTGGTGCCCGCGATTCCCGCGTCTACGTATTTTTGATTTTCATTAACCGTCGTGCTGCCCCCGCGACGAAGGGATACCTCGCTCGTAATTGCGAGGCGTATCGATATAATATGCCAGTTTTTGGGCGGTTAAGCGCGTGAACAGTCGTGCGAGTCTTTGGGCCTCGGTAGTAGTAGTAGCATGTTTAACCTGAGAGAAACTTCTTTTCTTTTTTTTTAAGCGCTGAATAGGGGGACTCGAAGAGTCGAGCTGCTCCTACTGAGTTCTGAGATGCTTTGAGTGCGAGGTCAGTCGGAATTTCGCGAACAAGAGAGAGTTTATTAATTGACGTTTGTTGTAACGTTGTCGCTCGCTCGCTCGCTGTCGAAATATAGGTTAAAACTTTATCGGTAACGCAAGTTAAATAAATGACAGAGTTCGCGGTTCCACAATAATTGAATTTTAAATTGGCATATCGTCAAGTTTATTAAACACCCATTAGTGATGAAAGTTTGGATTTTGTTACGATCGAATAGGTTTTGAATATTTATAATTAAAGTTCGTTGGTGTTTTTGTTCATTCGTTCATTCGTTCATTCTTTCTTTCTTTCTTTCTTTATTTTGTTTTTTTTTTTGTTTTTTGTTTTTTTTTTATTTATTTATTTGTTTATTTATTTATTTTTTGTTTTTTTTTTTTTTTTTTGTGAAATTTTTGCCCCAGCAAGCATTGTTTTGGAGGTTAATTTTCATAATAAAGCGCTGAAGAGAGAGGATAAGAGTTTTCAAAATTTTGGGCGTTCGAAGAAAGACTTGTCAATGTTATTGTTCGATTGTTCGAGTTCAAATTTCACGAAGCGCCGTTAGAAGCGAGCGAGCGAGGCTTTATTATCGCATTCTGTCGTTCCTGCTCGTCGCGCTTTTATGATATTGCCGCCTTTGAGGGTGAGGCCAGGGCGTATTTTTAGAACTAACTCGACGCGAATATGTTACGTGCATTTTCCTTTCTTCTCCAATTTATTCCAATACGCAGCTGCCATTGTGGCGGGAAGAAAGAAAGAAAGAAAGAAAAAAAAAAAAAAAAAAAAAAAAAAAAAAAAAAAGAAAGAAAGAAATAAATAAATAATTAACTCGTCCCCTTTCTCATTGGTTTCAATAGAGCGAAATAAATTATGGAGAACGAGCAGCACAAGTATTATGAGCTACGGAGTCGTAGTCGATCCAGATCGGAGACTCCGCAAATTATTAGTCGCACGGTAATAGAGAACGATGCCGCGGATCATCATTATGAATTAAGAAGTATAAGTAGAGATAGATCCGTGACTCCGGGAGAAGTTAGCAGTAGCAGAAGATCATCTTCGAGATCATTGTAAGTTATTCATATTTATATTATAGCGCTGAAACTCATTAATTTTCGTCAATTCATTTTCCTAGCTTAATTCGATACACTTTATTTATTGATATAGTAGCAAGGTGACGCAAGATAACTTGCCTGCCTGCTTATTCTAATGATCTTTTTTTCTACTTACGAATCTATTCTGTTGATATCGATGTCATCCAGTTTTTTTTCATCTGACTTAATTTACAAACTGAATCAATGATATCTATTATATTTATAAAATATGTGCAATCTTTGGTAAATGAATCTATTATTATGAATCTCTGATCGACCAGAGATTATACGATATATCGTTCAATAAATTGATATAATTGTGGGCTTCTTTTAAAGTTTCATTTCAAAATTCATCGATTACATATCTTTCTCGATATGCCAATTAAACACATTATTAGTATCATCAACAATTCATTTAAATACTAATACGCTCTACTTCAATTTTACAATAATGAAATTTTTTCAAACTAATTATTTCTGTAGATCAAGCAGTGTAGTGAAGGCTCGTAACAAAACTATGGATGTTATTAGCGAACAAACAGATGACACATTAGTAGATAATAATTTGGATGTACCTAGCAAAAGTTCAGAGAAACAAGAGATCGTTACCAAAAGCAGTAGAAAGATGGAGCGTCGCTCGGAGCGCCAAAGAATTAAGAAACAAATGATTGCTAATGGACAAATTGATATTAAAGATGATTCTTCGGACGCAAAGTCTGAAACCAAGGAAAGTAAGAGGGAAAGCGTAACTCCAAAAAGGATTATAACGAGTGATTACTCATCGGAGGAGGGAGATAGGGATGATGTTCCTAATAGGGTAGGATCTGCTTATGAGTTTTATAAGCAACATGGCGAATATTGGAAGTAAGTTTTCGATAATCGTTTAATTTTAATTCTACCATTAAACTTGCATTTTAAAAATAATTTCCAGCTTAATATAAATATACAATTTTCAAATGATGAAAATTTCAATAACTTAAGTATTGCAAAATACAAATATTTCCATTATGTATTTTTAATTATACTGAAATTATTTCAATTAATTTACTTTACAATTATCGATTATTTAACGGTTATTGATAAGTTTGAGTACTAGAGGGAAAAAAATCCAATATGTTCAAATACAACAATATGATATAGCATTTTGTACCACTGTATACATAGTTTGCAAAAAATGTATAAAAAAATTAGAATTTTGCATGGGCTCTTAGAATAATTGTCAGTACAAGCATCGTTCAATTAACAAATTTTATACACTAGAATGATAAGTTGAAAAATTAGTATGAAATTGTTTCTTAAAATTAAGTAAATTAGACTCAATCAAAGACGATATTCAGATGATGATGATGATGATGATGATGATGATGATGATGATGATGATGATGATGATGATGATGATGATGATGATGATGATGATGATGATGATGATGATGATGATGATGATGATGATGATGATGATGATGATGATGATGATGATGATGATGATGATGATGATTGTCATAATAATAATAATAAAGTAAAAAACGTGGTAATGTTAAAAAATTAATGATATAATATCAATTACGTAAATTTTTTATATTCGCATAAAATATTAATAATTTGAATGAACGAGAATAATTTAAAGTAATGCACGTCCAAAAGTATCAAGGAATTTGAAAGAATTTCTACTTTTCTATTCAACACATTGTGATAAAATGACAGTAAAATTATCAAGAATTTTTATTTACAAACGTATAAGAAGTTGTATAATCAAAGCCTTATATATTTGTCATAGGATGTCTTTCATAAAAGTAGAATTAATTACAATTACAATGTTTAATTCAATAATTATAGTAATGTTTTTATGCTCATTATGTGAAGTCTTATGTAATATTATACATTAATACTTTGTTACTTTTGCTTTTAAAATATTATAATTACAGTATTATCATGTTTGTGTTTATAAAATAGCTTCTTAAATTTTACTCTTATTTATATTCAAGAAACTTGAAGTGAAGCGATATTCCTAATAATCCTGTGACAAATTTTTAATTTATACTCTACATTCGTCAATGTAGTGTTTATTAGAAAATTAATACTCACTATTGATATTATGTATTGTGTATTATTAATCTTGATAACATTTTTTCCCTAATGCGACTTTCGACTAACAATATTACAAAATATTATGATAATGGTTAATTAACAATTTTTATTTAATACAAAGACCATAACGTTTTATTTAAAATTTCTTTAAGTACTATTTGTTAAGACCTCGGTGCACTACTGAAGTTAAAGAAAAATTTTTATCTATAAGTAAAAATGAAAAGAAAACGTGCACATACTTTGTCATCGACTCGTGTTTGCGCACATATCTATACGCATATATATATATGTACACACACGCACACACACACACACACACACACATATATATATATATATATGCGGGCGCGTGCGTGTATAATATAAAAAATAAACAAAATTAAAAAAAAAAAAAAAAATCGTCATATCCGAAAGGATAAATAGGATAAAAGTCGTGTATAATTTGATTTGTATAATCGAAGCCAGTAAAATAATTTTATTTCAAAATTCTATAATACGAATATTCCGCAATTATTTAATTGTGTTTACAAACAGCGGCATTTCCCAAGACAGTTGACCTCTCGGTATAGTTCGTCGCACTTAAGCAGCGACGAACCTGTAACCCTTATCGCGCCAGACGCATCTTAGCGTGGATAACTCAACTGACTTTTTATTCCATTAACGAATAACGCCGTTACTACAATTTTTACAGTAAATTTCCAAAAACGGATTACACGTATTCACAAGCGTCAACATGTCGATACGAAGTCGCACCGGGCGTCATGGCCATACCTAACATGTCGCGACGCTCGCTGCACTCGGACAACAGCTTCTTGGGCGTCGAGGCATCGAATAGTCAAAGCAATAGCCAGTCGTCGAAGGACAGCTACAACGAGAACAGCAGCAACATGGACGAGATTCATCGAGACTTATCAGTGAGTTGTACTTTAGGCACTTTAGTCGATAAGCAAGTCTTATTAGTAGTCTGCCCGCTTATTGAAATCGAACATTATATTGGCATTTTAGAGATTAATTTATCATTTACTTCATTTGCGTACGCGTAGAGTGTTTTTTGTGCTCGTGGATGAATCAATGTGAAGAAATTTTTGATATTTTCGAGCACTACCGGATTGCGGAGCAGAGTAATTTATTTCTGAGTGACCGGACACAACTATCGTCTTATTTTTACACCTGATGATAAAGAAAAGAAAAAGAAAATATTTAAAAAGAGTAGAGATTGTGATTTAATAGCGAATACACGAGAATTTCTTAAAGTGCGTGTGTGCGTGCGTGCGTGCGTGCGTGCGTGCGTGCGTGTAATCGCCCTTTATTGAAACTCGTTGGAAAATTGATACGCTTCTTTTGCATTAGGATGCAACGATCCACCATCTATAATAATATTTTATTTTCCAATGAGAAATTTATCAATTTGTAACATTTATATAACATGAAATAATCAATTTAGTTTATGTGTTATTTTATTTTTTATTTTTTATTTTTCAAGTTGAAATTTGAAAAGAAGCATCCATTCTGAAATGATAAAATTAGATAATTTTTTTTTTTTTTTTTTTTATATTATCGCGCTCGTGAATCACATGGAAGTTTCAATTATTCAAATTTGTATTCAATCTTATCGAGTTATTTTTAATACTTACAAAGTGTTTTGCTAATAATATCTGTTAAAAGTTTAACAAAAAAAAAACAAAAAAAAAAAAAAAAAAAATAATAACCGCCTAGTTTTAAATTTTCATTCGTAATCACGATGAAAAACCTTCGCAATGGCAATTATTTTCAACTTTGTTGTAAACAATTACGAGTCTAATATTTATACTGTTGTGCATGTAATTTTTACAACTATTAATTTTATGCTTAAACGAAATTGTAAAGACAATTGCCATATTATTAGCTGAATTAAAACCAAGTATTTTTCAAGAATATTTCGTATGGAAAATCTCTTGATTTTCTATATAAAAAATTTCACTTCATCAGAAACGACGATTATTATTATGATTTATAAGAATGACGTTGATATATTCTGATGTGTTATGAAATATTTTACAGGACATGGTTCCGCAACTTTTACCGCATATTAGAGGTTCGGATACTGCAGGCCAGTCAATTATTTATAAAAGGACACATGTTGAACAATATACAACTCGACGTGAGTTCGTTTATGATTCATCAAAGGATAACCAAATTAATGAGAGGTACATTAAAAGCATCACAAAATTAAAAATTTTAAATTATACTAATTTTATAATAATAATATTATTATTATCTTTTAGATACGAGTCGTGGGCAAATCCCCTTTTGAATTCTCACAAAACTAATTGTTACAGATCTGCGGTAAGTGCAGATTCTGATGCTGAGCTTGATGAAGCAATAGTATCAAATCATAAATACTATTTAAAAAATACGCAAAGGCTTAGCAAATTTACTAGTCTCACCTCGATATTATTTCTCAAACTATTTCATTTTCTTACATTTGGTCAATTTAAAAAACGAGAGTATTCTGCAACTAGTCATTATTATCGTCGCTATGAAGGTACTTAATATCGAAATATAATAATACATAAAAGAAAAATCAATTATAGGCATTAGGATTAAAAAAGTATATATATATATTTTTCCTTCGTTTAATAAAATCTTTACTAAATTGATTTTTATAATTGGTTTTTCTCTAATATCTACCTATCATTACTTATCTTCTAGATAAGAACGTTTATAAGAAAACTATTGCTTAACATAATCTTAATTTTCAGGGACAAAATGGAGTCGATTTCGACGACAGATAGATATTGCTATGCAATACATATATCTTTTGTTTGTCAAAATTGTACTTCTTGACTCATGGTTACTAAGTAGAGCTTCCAATATTCGTGAACGAGCCCAAGGGCGACGCACAAAAATACTTTGGCTTATACTTCTTCCATTATTTCTCATCATTGGTAAATAAACATAATCTTGTTATCGGTAATAATCAAATCAGATTAAATCAAATTTGATTATTTTTTAAACGGACTGCTTTTATTTATTTATCTTTTATTTTCAAGATCAATTGAGTGCAAAATGCAATAATTGTAGTAAGCAAAAGCGAAGAGTCTACGAGATCTTATCGATATATTAAATCAATTTTAAAGATCTTATCGAAATTCAAATCTATTTTAATGTAAATAATATAAAAAATATTTCAATTTTCTTTTAAATACATTCTGTTTAACGTGAAAATAAAAATGAATGCCATTTTTAATAATCTTTCAAAAATATCTTGAAATTTTAAAGATAGATTTGAAATAGAAAGAAAATAGAAAATATTTTTAAATTCATATTTTATATAATTTATTGAATTAAAAATATACTAAACGGAATTTAAAAATCAATTTTATAAACACACTTTATTGAATTATTCCAGAATTCTTTTATAAATAAATAAAATATGAATCTATAGTAAAATACCTTAAATTTTTAACATTCATATTTGAACGTAAATTTATGTTTTAATTAATTCTTTTACAATATTTTGCCTGCGTGCGCGCGCGTATGTATATATGCATATATATATATATATATATATATATATATGCGTATTTGGATTTATTTTTTTGGATTTAGTTCGGATCTCCTACTTTTGTTTCAGGTGCTTACATTGCGTATAAGCATACTTTTACTTGCCTAGATTATCTGCGAAACGTTCGTAAAAGTGTAAGCGAAACAGCTAACAATGTCGTCGATTTTCCATTTATTGATAATGAAATACTTTACAAGTATTTGTTGAGTTTAAAAGACGTATCTTTCTCAAACTTGGGCACTGTGAACGTGTCTTTACCGTCACTGCCAACTTTTGGCTGGGACTAGACCATAAGTTACCTGCATTTATATTCATAAATTTTATTCATTAATGATATATTTTACAGCTTAACACAATTATTACTAACCATTTATAATTACTACGTAATTCAATTGTTCATAATTCAGAATTTTTCATCATAAATTTTGGCAAAAGATAAATAAAAAAATGATCTTATTGGCGCATTAATAATATCTTGCTTTTAATAAATATTTTGAGCTTAATTATGTTAATTGATACTTTTACTTGGTATGGGAGTTAAGTATGGTAGATGGGATTCTATTTACATAAAGCAAATTGACCTTTATTAAGACACGCATACTATTATTATTTGCTTAAGAATTGTTACACATACAATACTCTATTAATGCTTTACAAAAAACACTACATTTGAATTTTGTGTGTTTTGTTAACGTATATGTTTAAATTATTACAATTATTTGTGTTACATAATTATTTACGTGTTAATATAAGATTTTAATATAATGTATACTCACATAATAAGATTCTTAATAATACTAATTGATTTATAAATAATTTTAGTTTTTTAAAGTTTAGCGCAATGATTTAATATTTTACATTGTGTATTTATTATTTTATTTACTTTTATTTATTATGTTACTTATTTATTTAATTACGGTTGAAGTTATTGAACACTAATATTAAATCTGTTATAAAATATAGAAGTATGTTGATTTTTAAAAAATTTAATGGAAAATGTTGTACGCATTTATTGAACTCAATTGTATTTACTACATTATATTATAAGATTTGTAATGAAATTATTTTTACAGAAGAAATAATATTTATAAAATATCAGATAATAAATAATATAGGAAAGAGTAGTGTTTGAAGAAGAGATAAAGGGATCATGTAACGTACTTTAATACAATGGATTAAAGTTTACCAATCACTTTTCAATTTATGAACTCATTTTTTCATTAAATTATAAATAATCCTGAAAAATTAAATTCAATAATATAATCATTAATGTAATAAAATTACGAAGAATGAGCCGATCGATTGAATATCATTTTTAGAATAAAATTCAAAATAATTGTGTGCGCCTCCTCTTACACAACACTAAATAAGTAAATTAAATAATGTTTGATTTATGTGCTAATTTTAACGTTTGCATGTGTCTACTAATCAGCATATCTTGAAATTTTGTCCTTTAGGCAAAATTAAATTTCCTTTATATCATGCATATTATTGTTATCGCTATCTTATTACAAAAGCAAAACTAACTCCAGTGAGCAATAAATGTAATAATAGAGTCGAGAAGCACCAAGCACGTTCACATTCGTTTTAATCTAGAAGTAAGGGAGGCTTTTGAAATGGGAAACAACGTTTCGCAGCGAATTATCGTGGACATGTTAAAGGGCTATAAAATTAATGGGAGAAGGATAGAGGGGAGTGTGTTGTAATTCTTTAAAGTGGCGGCTTATAATCGAGAGGAAGGCTCGAACTGTTTCTCGCGCGCATGGACTCGAGGCAATTTGCAATCGATGCTGTGCTGCTTACCCCTGACGCCGGGTGAGTTAAAAAACTTCGTCTATCCTTCTCTCTCAACTATTCAAAAATTGAAAAAACAAGGTATAAATATTTTGTAATTAAATAAACATTGGGCATGAAATTAGCTGCGTAATACAGCAATTTGATACACGCAATGCGAAAAGCCAATATGAGCTCGAATGTTATCATTAAATCATCTATTTGCCCGCTTGTTTTTTCTTTTTATTTTGAGTTAGGATTCATAATACAATATATCGATATCACTTTATGCTTTCCCTTTAAATATGAAAGTATTCAAATAAATACGTTAAAATATCAAAACTCACTGCCATAAATGAATTTATTATGCTTATGTTACAAGTTCCAAATGATACATGTTAAATTGTCGAATATTATTAATTAATAATATTTGTTTTTGCGTTTAAATTATTATCTATTCTATTACAATAAGATTTATTAGATGTAATCAGATTTAAAGTTTGCACAAAATAATTCAGCGAACTGTATTAATAATTAGGAAGCTAATAAAAAATTTAAGGAAAATTTTACAAATACAATGATAAAGAGTTACTTACAAGTGAATATAATTAATATAATGATAGAAATTTAATACGAAGAGAAATGTTTTTAATCATTGGAAGCCTATTGGAGAAATATACAAAAGTTTAATCTTTTTCAGACAAACACTATTGTTCATATTATATGATATAATTAATTGTTCATTATAAAGATTGACGATTGCTCTATCGTACATCACTTTCATTGCGATATCAAATATATAATATCTAAGGGAAAGTCATATGAGATTCCTGAATTTAATGCATCGTTTGTTATTAAATTTAAGCATTAACGAAAACTTTTTAAATACTTGAAACTACTATGTCGGACATCAATATAATATTAACGAAACGAATGTTAAAAAATTAATTTCTTGGCGTTTGTCTTAAATAATGAAAGAATTTGATAATGTGACATTAGCGTACACGACGATGACTTATCATGAATATATGCAAGATCTATAAGCAAATTTTACAATCATCAATACTATTATAGTATTTATATTACTTATCTTTTCCTATTTCAGGTTGCTGGTTTCTGCCATACATTTTGTCTGCCATTCCATTGTCCATTAAACAGATGCTATCTCAATTATCTCAAGTTAGGGAAGAAAGAAAAATAGTACAAAGTTACCCTCAAGACGATTTGAAAACAAATCAAGAACTATGGAATATTGTAAATCACTTGATTAGTCGTGTTCAACGTTTAGAGACTACTAAAGTAGAACAATCGGTAATTATACATTTATGTAATTTAAGATTAAAACTATTATTGTTAATCATAATACTATTTTGAATCGATGGTTTTATTTTAAATTTTTATAAATGATTGTGAAATTATTACAATGAGCATAGATTGTTATCGACTATATTTATTCACAGGAACACTTATTAAATATTACGCAAGTTTTAGAAGAACTTCAGCATAGTGATAGTAACATATGGAAACATTACGATGTATGTCTTAAAAATAATTATTTACAAATAAATACTTTAATAAGCAACTTACTCGACTGATTTTATAGGATAAATTATTGAATTTGGAACAAGTATTGGAGGATCAAAATAGGAAGAAGGAAAATTGTAAGACTGAGGAGTTCAATCATATAAAGATTGGATTTCAAAGATTAAAACGGCTTTACACGCAATTGAAATCTTGTTGCGATACAACATTACGTACGATGAGTGACGAGAGTATTCAAAAGCAGACGGATCAAATTTTTGCCGGTTATTTTGGGAACTCTTTTTCAAAAGAAGACGTTGCCAGAATATTCAAAACCATGAATAACAAACTTCAGCAAGAAGATATGAAAAAGTCTACTGAAGTAAAAGCATCTGAAAATTATATCAATAAACGATCAAATTTAGATAATGATGAGATACGTAAAATGATTTTGGGAATTTTGAAAGTATATGACGCTGATAAGACTGGTCGAGTCGATTATGCATTGGAATCAGCAGGTTAAGATGTTTTAATATTAATAACAAATTCTTATTCACTACCATACATACCATTCATACCATCTTATGGACATTCGACTGTTTTTTTTTTTTTTTGTTTTTTTTTTTGTTTTGTTTTTGTTTAAATTAAAATTAGAATTAACACGGTGATTGATAATTTCGTTTTATTTTGCAGGTGGACAGGTGATTAGCATTCGCTGCACCCAACAATATAGCGTGAATACACGAGTCTTTCACATTGTAGGACTGATACCCTATAACTCTGACATTAATGATCCGCGTACCGTAATACAAGGTAATGACCTGCAACCTGGCATGTGTTGGGCCTTCCAAGATTTTCCTGGTTATTTATTAATTAAACTACGTAGTCAGATCTATGTGACGGGTTTTACGATTGAGCATGCATCGAGATTAAATTTGCCCAATGGGGAGATGAAGAGTGCGCCTAAGAAATTTAATGTCTGGGTATGAATCTTTAAATATGTCAAAGCCACTTGAAAACTTTCTTTTATATTCGTTGATTAATCTACTTATAAGTAAAGAAGAAAAATTAAAGACAATATTTATATATCACCTGAGAAGCAAATGAATATTCTATTTATATTTGTTGATTAATTTTTAATGTTCATATACATGTCTCGTAGCATCTATTTATCCATAATAATAAAATTTTAGGGATTAAAAGCGGAAAATGATTTGGAACCTGTGCTGTTTGGCGAATATGAATTTTCAGACTCCCATGAAAACTTACAATATTTTCCAGTTCAAGTAAGTTATATTATTTAAAATAACTTTCAAATATTTTAGCATTCATTTGAATAATAATCTGATTAAAAATTTATAATTATCTATATATATATATGTTTGTACATTATATTTTATACAGAATGCATCGGTCAAAACTCCGTACGAATATGTTGAACTGAGAATTCACAGCAACCATGGACAGCTTGAATATACGTGCCTCTACAGATTTCGTATTCACGGGAATCTCGCGTGATAAGCTGTGTTAACAAAACCAAAACTTTATGATATCAATGGCTCGCCAATAGACTACAATAAGTACCATTAAAGAATACTTTACGTGCCTTTAAACAAAATGTTGGCGAATCAAAGAAACTTAAACGCATAATATTTTATACGCAACAATACTAGATCAGATCGACGTACGTGAACTAATAGATCTGAACTATTGTAAAAAGTTAAAAGTTGGAAGAGTATTTTTATATAAAAATCTCTTGGTAGTTATTAAAAAATGCCGAGACTTCTCAAAGTTACCCGCGGTTAAACGTGAAACTTCAAACGACATTAATGTTGCTCATAAATTCCTTATTACCGATTTTTAAATTTTTTTTATTTTTTATTTTTTATTTTTTATTTTTTATTATTATTATTATTTTTTTTTTCTTTATTATTATTATTATTATTATTATTATTATTATTATTATTATTTATCGTATTTAGTATAGTCGGTTATGATGAATGTAAAATATATGCAACTTTAGTGATATTTTTTCGCTTTGAGCGATTCTTAAAGCCGGAAAATGTACCGACGCAAGACAGTACAAATTGTAAAGCCACTTACTAGTTAATAGCTTCTAAGTCACTTTTTTTTTCGTCTTTTTTTTTTTTTTTTTTTTTTTTTTTTTGTAAAAAGATTCGTCTTTGAGTGATATGTTTTAACTATGTAAGTTTATTCGTATTTATAATGAAATAGTTAAGGGACATCTTACAGCATGAACAATATTTAAAGCATCGCAATAATGTTTAATATTATTGAACGTTTTTGAATTATTTGACATGTTTTCAGAAATTAACAAGTCATAACTCGAATTCAAAGTTAATTAATCGACAATTAGAAAATTATATACTTAATTTAAATATTTGATTACGTGACAAACCTAATAATTTTACATTGACATTCAAGTGTAATAGTATTTTTTGTTTTCCATTTTGACAATTTAGTTTATTTTAAATATTTATACATGTGCTTGGGTGCGTGTATAATGTTATCGACACTTCGATTGATTAGTTTTCAATAATCGTAAAAAAAAAAAAAAAAAAAATTGATATATAATCAATTGAAACTAATTTAATTTGTAACGAACAAATTATCATCTACTTGAGTTTATTGTTCATCAACTTTGATTTAAAGTTATGCATTCATTTTTTACAATTCACTTAACGATTTGTAATACAAAAACGTTCGGTAATTTTGTCATTTTATTCTCACGTTACAAAATGTTCATATCAATGATTTGTTTTCCATAATCTAATTTTCTTCTTTTAATTAAAAGAATTGTTTTCAATTCGAGTCGTGAGTTTGCTACTTATTTTGAGTATCATGAAGAATTTTTATTATTTTTAACTTCTTCAAGTTGACTGACTTTTTTTTTTTTTATATAATCGACGTACTCAAGTGGAAGAAACTTGTATGGGCACGCGTTTTACTTAACAGAAAAAAATTAGATTAATCATAGTTAATGAAACTTCAAAGGTAAAAATATGCTTTAACATGTCGAAATATGAGACAAGATACGAAAGCCTTCCTTTTTCTATTCGAGTGTCATATGTATGCACGCTTCCTATTGAAAGTAGATCTTAAGATTATGAATAAATAAAAAATGGAAAATTATCTGTAAATTATTTATTAATAAAATTCCATTCCAAAAATTTAATAGAAAATTGTTATGTCCTTTCAGTGTTTCCTGTGATTCATGAATAGTAGTAGTTTGACTGAGATTTAAATAAGAAATTGATTGAAATTGAAATTTCGTGCATTACCGATCGAGTTATCAAAATTCAACAGGTGTCGGTAAAGGGACGATTTATGTATATTTTTCTCCTGTGTTTACAAATTCTTGAAAAACAAATGTAATTAAGAACTTAAGTACTTTGAAAAGTCACGCGTCAGAGCTCATATAAGTTTATTTGGAGCTGAATTTATCGAATCTTCATCAGTTTAAAAGCAATTTGATCTTTTCTTGAAAAATTTATACAAAAAGTAAAAGAACAAGACCATAATGATCATAACCTAATGCTGTCATGCACCTGAGCCGCTCTCTCGATTCATTCTATAACAATTTTTTTTTTACTAAAAGATTTTTAAGAAATAGTCATACATTAATAAATCTATTAATCTATTAGAGATTTTGTAATAACGTTTAAAGATTTAGAAAAATTCAATGATTAATAGCATCAATTATCAATCGCTTATTTATTTCAAATAATATAGTTTGGTAAGTTATTTATACATTATTGTAAACGCTCTTTACCAACGATTTTGTTCATATGTTTGTTGAATTAAATTAAAAAATACGTCATAATAGTAGAATTATAAAAATAATTGGAAAGTTAATTTCCTTGCATTTATATTTTAAAATTGTATACATTAATAACTTATACTTCTGTTTGAAATAATCAGTGATGAAGTATTTAATAAAAAAAAATATATAAACAAACGACTATTTACATTATTGCGTTTATCGCGGTAATAAATAAAATTAATTTGATCGTTGAATTAATAACGATATATTAATTATTATAATTATTACGTGTCCTCATAAGTATTTTAATTATTCCCTTAAATATTTTCAACAAAGGAGAATACGTGTATTTTTCTTATCCTATAGGAATACTTTGATGTTGATATTTAAATTTGATTATTATGTTATAGTTTCAAATAATAATATAATTAAAATGGGGCTGTAAAAGTAATGAAAATAATTTTCAAACATTAGTTAACCTGAAACATGGGAACCAGAGCAGTTGCTGTAACTTCGACCACGAGCGCAGTTGTTTTGCCCGGAGAAGCTAATCTAACCGGTGTTCTAAGACTTTTAGAAGATTTGGCAAGGCTTTCCGAAGATAAAGAATCCGCAGACATAGTTTTTTTACTTGGTAGAGAAGAAAGTCCAGTCTACGCACACAGAATTATCATGCAAGCTCGATGCAAAAACTTTTCATCCGCTAAGTGTATCGGTACTGCTGGAAATCCAACTCCAATTAGAATGCCTCACGCTTATCCAGAAACTTTTCGTCAATTTATACATTATGTATACACTGGTAAAATAATGCTACAAGACAGCGGTATATTCGAAATGCTAGGCCTAGCACAGGAATTGGGAGTCGAAGAATTGTGGCGAAGTTGCGAAGAACACGTATCTGTCACGTTAAGTCCTAGCAATGCTTGTGCACTATTGAGCGCTGCGCTGGATGCTCAAGAACGAATTCTTAGCGTTAAAGGAGCATGTTCTTCTTTTATTGAGCGATGTTTCGCTTACATAGGGGAAAATGCTGTGGATACAGTGAAAACTAATGCATTTTGTAACTTACCTAAGGATGCCATAATTAAACTTATCTCCTCGGATTACCTAGGCTTAGAGGAAGAAGATGTGTGGAGAGCTGTCCTTAATTGGGCAAAGTATCAGACTGGAGTTACTCAGCCAACTCAACACTGGACCGAAGAAGAAAGAGCTAGAGTTTGTCAGCATCTATCCGGTGTTATAAATCACGTACGGCTGCTTTTAATAGATAGCCAAGTGTTTGCGGAAGAGGTGGAACCCACGGGAGCAGTTCCTATTGAATTATCATTGGAGAGGTACAGGTAGGCAGGTATCGATTATTAAAAATTATAAATATTTGTCAATGTAAAAAGTTCATCAACTATGAATATGAAAATAGTCGTATTTTAATATTGAATTTTCCCTCGATATTTGTAAACAGAAAATTATTGACATATTCATTTAGTCGACTGGACAATGTTTTCAGGCAACATTGGCGAAAAAATTAATACGTCAATTACTTAACGACGAATGTTAAATATTAGGTACGCTGCCCTACCTAACAAACACACGGACATTTGCTCGGACAAACGTCTACAACCCCGAATTGGACCCTTCCTCTTCCCAGGCTCTCAAATCCTCTCAAAGGACAAAATGGGTTTTCAGAGGCTATTGAATCAATGGTACGGTGTGCCCAAGCAATCCTGGCGCCTCGTTTACCGGGCATCGAGCCACGGTTACGCGGCCTCGGCCTTTCACCGTTACTGTGACGGAGTCTCCCCCACTTACGTTATCATTCTGGGTAAGCAAATTACTTTTGTCATTTGGATCCTTGTAGCCGCTGTTTCGCCTGTTCAATCTCGAATCCGACAACAAATGCAAACAACGAGACACTTGAATTTTATAAAAATACAAGGCTAATTGAATGTGATAAACTTGTACTATTCTTTCGACAACGCGTTAATGGGCATTTGACAGGACATTTGGAGAAACAGTAAACAGTAAATAATGGATAGGAGATACTGATTTTTTTTATACTTATATAATATGCACATAATTTTCAACGTCTACCTTTAAAATAATAACAAAATAATAACAAATAAAAAAAATAACAAACTCTCATTTAAAATAATAACAAAGTAATAACACAACAAAAACAAATAATACAAATTTATATAAAGCAATATTAATGTGAACTTGTGGTGTGATCCATTGCCAAATCAAGGTAATAATTAATTTCTTTAATATTTATATATTGTATTCTAAATGAATGTGCAGTAATTAATGTGTAGTAGGTTACACGCAAACGCACAAACACAAATGATTATACGAGCACGCAGTTTTTATTTATGTACACATATTGTCACTCCAATTTTATATCATCAATAAAACAAACAAGTTACGTACCTCCTTGATTATAGACATCAATCGTCGTCAACTAAAAAACTGATTGCTCATTTGTTCAATGTCAACCTATAACAAATTATTATTTAATTTATAAAAAAAAAAAAAAAAAAAAAAAAAAAAAAAAAAAAAAAAAATAAAAAAATTGTTAAAAATTCATAAGACTTTGAGTTATGCACAAATAACACAAATAATAGCTCACGAATCCGCTAATTTTTAAAGTAAAAAAAAAAAAATTGACGCATAGTAATGATAATTTTATGCTATTTAATTTAAAAAAAAAAAAAAAAAAAAAAAAAAAAAAAAAAAATAAAAAAATTGTTAAAAATTCATAAGACTTTGAGTTATGCACAAATAACACAAATAATAGCTCACGAATCCGCTAATTTTTAAAGTAAAAAAAAAAAAATTGACGCATAGTAATGATAATTTTATGCTATTAATGCAAGTGAATAAGATTAAATGGTAGAATATCTTGCGAATTATTCTCGATTAGGCTCGAGGGGTGAAATTTGCGGAGGCTTCTGTGACATACCCTGGGGTAAGACGAGTACCAAGTGTCATCAGTACATTCCATCGGAGAAGGCTTTCCTCTACACTCTGATAAACAATCAAGACGTGCCTCCAACCAAGTATGATGTCGTTAAAAAGCCATTTGCCATCTGCCATCACCCGGAAATTGGGCCAATTTTCGGAGCCGGTGCCGATCTCTGTATATCGAGCAATTGTAACATCAACAAGGAAAGCTATAGCAATTTGCCACACAGCTACGACGGTGAATACGCCTCGAATTCCATTCTCATGGGGGACTATTACTTCTCGGTTGTTAACTACGAAGTTTTTACATTGAGCAGCGCAGGTTCTAAGGCGAATCATTAATGTTTGTTGGATTAAGAGGAGGTGAAGGAGGAAGAAGAGATGGAGGAGAAGCAGGAGGAGGAGCTAATGTCCAATGTGAGCTTCTATCATTGGAAACCTTCACAGATTATTTTATAAAGTGTCGAAACAGCGTGCCATTGCATTTCAATTTACTCTTTAAGAAGCTCAATCTCCATTTACTTTTATATTAATTATCTCCTTTGATATTTAATTATATATAATATAGGGAATATGATCGACTCTCTGGAATTTCTAATGTGAAAGCTATTCACAGCTAAATATAATAGGAATAGCATTATTTTTCATGTTTTAGCGATTCAAAATATTCAAGAAATCACATAATCAAAGAATTAAAGCGCAACAAGAAATTAATTAGAGAAATAAAAGCATTTTTTTTTTATTTATTTTATTATTATTATTATTTTATTTTATTATTTTTTTTTTTTTCTAATCTATGAAAAAGTTAAAATTGTAAAATAGCGTGTAATAATAATAACATTGAAATAATTTTGACATATTGCGCGCTTAATTAATTATCAATTAAAAAATTAAAAAAATTTAAAGCATATTTAATTAAGCATAAACTATGCATTAAAAATTTTATCATTATAATATTGAATTTATCAAAGCTTTATTTATCCAACATCATTATTTAATAACTATATCGAATTCACTAACGATATTTTAAAATATTTTATATTCTTTAACGTTTTGTTTCTGTGAGTTCGTGCGTGCTTGCGTGCGTGTATAATATATCAAAACGTACAATGACGTTTAAGAGCAACTACAGATAAAAATATAAATAATTTTTTGCTGGCAAAATTATGATTTCACATTTAAGTTATAGTAGACTCAAAATTGTTTTATATTCTGATGTATAAAGTCGGGAAATAAACATCATTATGCATATACACAACTAAATTTCTTAACAACGACATTATGTAATAACGTTTTATATACAAAACAAATATGTTAACAAAGATCTATTATTGTAAAATTTATCATCGATATCCCAACGGGAAAATGTATTATTATTTTTTTTTTTTTTTTTTTTTTATTGCTCGAAAATTCGAACCGAAATATATCCATTGAAATTAAACTATACTGCATAACAATACATACATGCATACGTTATAACAGAATATACGTTGCTAAATACAAAACTGTGTATCTAATAAAATATTATCGATCGATTTACTTATCCATAACGTGTCCATCCTCGTATTTCGTCGTTACTAAGAAAAAAATGTTACTTGTTTGAAGTTGAAATGATAGTAAACAGTATTATCGTATAAGGTTTACGACACGTACAACACACGCACGCACACACACATATATTTTTATACGAATATTTTTATTACACGATGTATTTTATGTACGTTTACAAATTTGCAATAAATTACTTTTAACATAAGAAAATTTAAAATACAAGAAATAAAATTAATTTATTATTTAATACCTCGTAGTAAGTAAATTAATTCCAACTCAACAACAGAAATTTATTAGGTGAATAATTTTTATATGTATTTGATTTTATTTTATGCAAAGGTTCGTTTTTAATTTTTAACGAAACATTTGTCTTGTGTGAATTCAATTTGCTGTATCTCCATGACATTTACAGTATACGTAAAATTTCGTTTTATAAAGTTCTATACTTAAAGTCTTAACAAATTCTAGACAATACAATATTTAAAAAATTTTTTTACTTACCTTTGGATTATTTAAATTAATGTGTTACGACAATTAATGTATTTAATATTAAAAATAAAAATTAATTCACATTTAATACTGGTATGCTGAATAAATTTTATTATCAGTTCCGTAATTTTCTATGAATTGTCGAGATTCTTTATTTCATTAGAAATTTTTATGAATAAAGAGTAAGAATAAGTTAGACGGATAGAATACCTTCATTTACATATATTAACTAAATAAATAAAAGTATATATTATATATTTAATTTATTGGTTTCCAATATTAAATTTGATATCGAGTGCGATGGTCATTTAAGGCATTCCTTACACCCTTCATTTTAATTGTTATATTAATAGTGATACGAATAAACATTTTAAATAGTAATAAAGTTTTTATTTCGTAATGAGTCATAAGATCCTTAAAACATAAAAGTTAATGATATGCGTGTGTATAGTTTGCAATAATAAAATGGAAGTATATCTTATATAATTATAAGATATACATTAAAATTATAATTATGTATAGTATTGATCAAAAATTCATAGGAAATTAAATTAACTAGCAAATTAATCACAATTGTACGATCAGGTTAATTACCGTAACAATAAATCTCTATTTTTACTATTTTTTTAAATTAAAAATACTGTTTAATGTGCTAACAATTACATCGTATAATATTCATAAATTTCGAATTTGTCAATTAATTATTTATTTTGAAATTGCACAAATATTATTAAATGATCTTGGATCAAATATCGTTTATTCAATTGAAACTGATGCTCTTATCGATCATTATTTTTTAAAATATTTTACTAAATATTAAGATTATTTAATTTGATAAAATGTTTAATTTATGTTTATATTGGATTTGTTACATTGTCATTACAATGACCTTGCAATTTTTTTTTTTTTTTTTTTTTTTACAATATACGAGGCATTGAATTTCTCATCTCATTCTGTTATATTTAACGCAAAAACAATTATGTTACCGTAAATAATGTGATATTTTCCTGATAGTTTATCATGAAAATTTTGAAAAAATATATCTAAACATAAACTATTGATCATTCACGATATGCTAACTTGGACATTGAATAAATATTGAAATTTACCGTTGAAAAAGACAAAAATAATATGTTTTAAACATTTAAACTCAAATAATAGATCATTTGGCTCAAGAATTATTCAAATTATATATAAAATTAATATAAAATGCTGCTAGTTTGAATTCATAATATTATTTTAAACTTCAAATTATTTAAGAAAATATTAAGAATGTAAATTGCAGAGTTTGCACAAGCGAGTTAATTTATTGATGCGGTATTTTGGAATTTAAAATGACTCATATGAGAACCGAAAGAAACAGTTTTTATCTAACTACTCTGATTTTTTGTTCCTTATCTGAACTATTTTTTTGCAAACAACAATTTAGTGCTTATACATTTAAGACACGCAAATATCGTTATTAATAATCATTATTTAAAAAATTTACAAGTTTCATCATCTTTATATACATATAATTGATTTAGCAAAAAGAATAATTAAGAAATGGTAAAAAGATTGTATATAAATGAAATATTATACTTTGAAATGCTGGTGATCAATAACGGCTTAAAAACAAATTTCCAACAAAGCAAGTCTATGTAGAATACATGAAATTTAATTACAATAAGATGATTCTCTGAAAATATTTAAAACCTTTAATTTTATTGTTTTTTTTCTTCTTTTTAATATTAATATTTCAATTTTATTTTATTCCTCTTAGTGTTGGTTATTGTAATTTCATTAGGAGCGATAAAAAAGAAAAGAAAAAAAAAGGTATTTTTAAAACTAATACAGGACATTGAAACATATGTAAAATATTTGTTTTAGAGACATGCTTATATGCGATACAAGCAAGAACAAGACATGAATATATGAAATGAAAAATACAAGATTTTCAGTTAATAACAGAAGATTGTTCAGTCGCAAAACTATAATTGGCTAAACACATACACATAACATACAGTATTGGTCGATAGGTTTATAGGAATCTTCTTTATTGTCTAATTTTTTTTTTAATTTTTTTTTTTTTTTTTTTTTTTTTTTATAAAGAAATGCGGTTCGACAACTGGTGTATTATTACACTTTAATGCATTATGAATATTTTTTTTTATAATGTATAAGAAAATAATGTGGATTTCACTACATATTCGATTAAAAAAGATAAAAATATACCTAACGAAAATCTTTATTATGGTAATAATATTGATTATGCTGAATATAATTACCTGTTACGATAAAATTGTAAAATAGAGGTAAAAATGAATTATTACAATTATGAAAAATCTTGTCTCTAGTTAGAAATAATATATCTCTTTTAATAGTTTGTATAAATTTTCCGTTTAAATTCTTTATGATATAAGAGATAGAAGAACACTTTTCAAATCAATTTTACTAGGGGAGTTTGATATCTCATTATGTTATAGTAAAGACACATAATTTGCATAAAATACTCTAATTTTATGAAAAAAAAAAAAAAAAAAAAAAAAACGGATTAACAATGATTACGATAATAACTATTGAACTTATTATTTAAGAATGTGAGATAAATATTATTATATGCGTGTTATAAAAGATAATTGCGTCATGAGAACATTTCTCTAGACATAATAATAATCGTACTGTAAATTTCGATGTTATAAAGTATGGCCATAAAGAATGAATTTGTAACGATTGCCAATAAAGTTATATAAAATTAATGCTCAGTGCAATGCTGAGTAGGATTCTTCTTTCTATAACTGATATCTTACTCATGGGATTTAAAAATATGTCGATTAAAGATAGGGCTCGAATACGTTCTTCGATATGAAAAAGAAAAGTGTATTTATCTTTATTTAATCAACAATCTTTCAAATTTCATTTTAATTAATTATGTTCCGCAGCTTCGATGCATATATTGAAACGATAATAATCGCTAAAATGTTTGGAAATCTTGGGTAGAGCATGGGTGAGATGAGCAGCGCCCGCTTTACATGGACGTCGGCGACCAGAAGTTCATCTCACGGAACTCCGAGGGCTTCGCCTGCAGAAGGTTCAGGTGGGTTGTGGAACTAGCGGCGACCTCCTTATTACCCGTAGCCTTATCCTCGGTCCCGAAATAGGTTAAGTTCTGGGACGATATCGACTTCTTACGGCTGAGCGCCCGCTGCGGAATCTGCTCCATCTGCTGCTCGTCCTCCTCCGCGATCTTCGGGGCGATGAGCTCGCGCGACTGTCCAAGGATGCTGCTGAGCAGCCAACCATTTCTGCCACGTTCGCTCTCATGGAACAATCGCTGACGACGACGCGACTTGGGGGAACTATCCGGGGAGACACTCGGCGATGCTATCGGCGTCACTGGCAGTGACTTGCTCCCCTTCCTCTGCTGCTATTGGATATTGGATAGACTCGATAATTCTATTATTATTAACAGCATCCTCGTCATACGTAAAATCAACGCGATGTAAAGGTGAAGTATTGGGATCGATGTTTTTCTCCGAGCTATCGACAAGATAAGTTCTCCTCGCTAGTATTTAGCACCTGATTTACGGAATTTCGAACTTTAGATGACGACTTTAGCGAGCGATTATGGTCGCTACGGTCGTAACTTTCGCAATGACTTTCGCGATCGAAGCCTCTCGCCTCGCTTCTCTAAAAGCTCTCGCGATCGATCGATCGATCGATCGAACGGTCGAACGATGGAACGATGGAACGATGGATCGATCGATCGATCGTTACTCGGCCGTCCAAAGCTCCGATTACTTACCAATTAAATATTATCGCGGAGTATTGTTTTAAACTTTCTTCTCTTTTAATCATTTTTATTTACATATTTATGAAATCATGAGAAATATATCTTAGATCGACGTGAGAGGGCAATTTTATTATAATGCGTAAATTCGTTTAATTGCCGATGCCTATAGTTATAGTATACTTGCTGATTAAATAACAATATGGTGCTTATGTAGCTAGAGATTCTACTTATGACTAGAAGTAGAACAGAATTCTGGCACACTTTACCTGAGTTGGTAATTCGTTGGCTTGATTTTGGTTAGCAGCCGAAGACGAAGCTTCCGAGGTGTTGAACTTGCCGAATTTGCACGACATTATTTGATTAGCTACATACACAATCGAACGGCTACTCTCGGTGATTTTTTCATTACGAAACTCATCATCGCTATGCTGTTTAGACTTTATAGAGTTTGCAACAACGACCTTCGGCCCATTTCCTAGAAATAGTAAATAGCTCTTTCTTTAACATCGTAATAATTATTATTTCATGTTCATGCGTATAGTCAAACGAGCGATTTATATGTATTGCTTTAATATCATTGTATATGAAATACTGCACTTTCTCTCGAGCATAATACATAATTTTTAAGCAGTGAAAAAATCAATATCGATTCATAATTACCAATATAAACTATATATTTTTATTGCAAGAAAAACCTCCTTCGAAGCATATATGCTAATCGTTTCTTTTGCCACTTATAAAATTATATAAACATAATATAATATTTTATGTTTAAGCTATAAATTTAACAAGAACAATGACGCTAAAATTAATTTTCAAATTTTGACGATTTATTTAGCATTTGACAATAAGATTTATAAATTTTTTTTATTATTTTACAATACAAACTATGTCGTCTTAGATTACGTATAACCTTACTATATATATTCCACTACTTGTAGCATGTAGTTCAAATATGTTCATCCAAGCTAATTATTAGCTTACATATTATAAAGCAAGCAAATATTAGCATATTAGCGGTGGTGTATCGCTGAGGTTAGAAGATTATTTGAATTTATAAAATTATTGCCCAATACTTGAAAGAAAAGAAAAGAAAAAAATAATAATAATAGACGTAATATTTATGGGAGTGTTATTTAAATGTAGTTTAAATGTGAAATGTATATTCTCATTTATAATTATATGTTGATATCGGCATAAGAGATGTCTACTTATTCATGGAAAGCCAGACAAATCGTTAGGTATTATTATAAATAACTTTATATATATATATATAAATAAAACCAATAATACCTAAATACAACGTAGTTTTCCTTAATTTTATAATACAGTCGCCGTTTGTGTACATGAATGCGTCAAGTAATGATATTGAAGCAAATCGATAATTGCGTAAATAATTACGCAAATAATTATGTAAACAAAAATATGTAAATAAATTTAACAGATCGGCCATTACCTTGCATATTAATTTTTTTTTTCTGTTTCAGTAGAAATTATTGTAAATTTCAATATTACTTAAAAGGTCAAATTAATAATGATATATTATTGATGAAACGAAAAGATTAAGATGATCATGAAAAAATCCCGTTAATATCGAAGCGACACACACCTTCGTTAGTCGAGAATGGTGTTAATTGCTGTGAGGATAATAGATGTTTGCTGTAGTCACTCGAGTGAGTATTTTTATTGTTCGTACTGTTGTTTTGCTCGTACAACAGTTTAGTGGATGTCGATCTGTCTAAATCTATTTTATTACCAAAAAGCTTATTTATGGATATGAAACCTTCGTTGCTATTAGTGGTGGAGGGAGTGGATGTGGCTTCTTGCTTCGGATAACGGATGTAGAAGAAGTTGTCGTCAGCTGGGGGACTAAAAGTACTGTCTGTGTAATCGAACCTAGAACAAGCATTTTAAATCCTGATTTAAACGTCTAAATATTTTTTTTTTTTTTATTATCAATTTTAGCGCTTTTTATTATTCTCTCTCTCTCTCTCTCTTTATTACAAAGCATTATACACGAAGCGTGTGCAATATTATGGTTTTCCAATATTTTAACGTCTGCACAATATAAAGGTGTAGTTCGTATGATCTTAATGCGTAAGCTAAGGATAACGTTAAACAAGTATTTCAATTTATAGTAATAATATTGTTGAAACTTGCAAATACTTGAGCAATAAATTATTAAATGAGTAAGAAGTAAAAAGCACATTAATTAAAATTATCGTATAGGTTAATTTACAACGTTAATAGCATATTAAAGAGCCTTTCTGTTATCAATACGTAAATTCAATATCAATTCATCAATTTTAAGATAAATTATTGTTAATCATATTATCGTAATATATTATTGGTCATAAATTATCTTATAATATTTAGTAGTGGGACCATTAGTTGATCTTGTACACAAGATTCATAATGCAATTCTAGAAGATTAAACAATCATATAAAACAGGTATCAAATTATAATTGTAATTTATAAGCAGGTCGATTGTAAGTTAATAACATAAATTCTTGTTATTTTTACGTGTCACTCGTTTTCATAATAAAGAAAACATTATCGATAATGAAATTATTTACAATTTGATTATTGAAGAATTTGCTCTACGTATATTTCATTCAACATAATTGCATAAAAAATTCTACTTTATTTATTTACATTTTACATAATTGTCTTTTTATGTTATGAACAAATGTTTCCAATTGAAATCAATTTATTTAATATTTAATGTTAAAATGTATATAATATTTAAGCTGTAATTATTATATTAAAAATAAGTAAATTATCAATATTCAAATTACTAGATAAAATAGTATCTCAAAATTTTATTCATACTAATATAAGATATGATTAATGACATGCAATTTTTAGATAAAAAAAAAAAAAAAAAAAAAAAAAAAACAAAAAAACAAAAGAAAAAAGAAAAAGAAGAACATTGAAAATAATTGTATGTCACGAATAATTCTATTAATCTCGCTCTTCAATTTAAATATTAACATATTTGAACTACGAATTATTAATCATTTCAACAGAGTTTACTTTATATTATAAATTTTTATAAGAATGCCTTTGGTATTGTTAAAAAGTGAATTGATAATTAATTTTTGTATACTTCCTTTATCACGTATGAAACATAAGATTTTCATAAATTCAAAAGACCAAATTATTAAATAAGGCCATAGAATATAAACAAAATATGACTATAATTATATTACGCTTATTATTATTAAGCACTTTCTTTTACTTATATTAAATTATTTTCAAGCTTATAATTATATTTATTTTTTATATGTAATTTAGAAAGTTTCAATAATTTTTGAATATTTGTATCATTTTATCCTCAAAGCCTATCCTTATATTAATATAAATTTAAATGCAAATTGTTAAATATATTTTAATACTTTTTTTCCATATATTATGAATATTTTTATCTTTTATAATCTGGATAACAATTACCTCGGATATATTTATGTATTTTTATAATAGAGTAGCGAATGTGCGTGAAGTTTGTAAAGTTAAAAAGGTTAATAACACAAAAAATTTTATTTTTAATTTTATCTAAAATAGATAAACATATTTATATATATGACTAATTTATTTATTTAATTATAATAAAACCTAGATTATTCAATTATTCTAAAACTGAATCTTCATTATTATTATAATCTTTATTAGTCCATTATTATTTACTGACTCTCATACAAATAAGACATGCACATGCGTACATTTTTAAATGCGTTTATTTTGTTTTAACAATGTTAACTATATATATATACACACACACGCACACACACATATATATATATATATTTGCTGACTTTATATTAAAATCATAACAAATTTTTAATACATTTTTAATTACGTCTTGATACTAATAACAAGTCTTATTAAATATAAAAAGTCAACAAGTAACAAAGTTAAAATGCGACGATTAAAATTAATGATAGTAATGATTATTAATTCTAAGTAATTACTCTAGTTACATTCTAATTAAAATTCTAATTAAATATTGTTTAAATATAAATATCTTTAACAATGAAAATTCTAACCTCGTGAATGTTGTAAATCACATGTTCAGCATATGTTTCCTGCACATGTTTTCGCCATTTCTGTTAAATACATTAAATACCATTGGGAAGTATACAATACAATCTTTCGGATGATGAAAATATACCTTAAATTATATGAATAGGACATCGAATTTATGGTGATAAGTACATTCGAAAGGGTAAATATGCATAGTTATGAAAAAAAAAAAAAAAGGTATTTATCATCCAAGAGACTAAACTGCAATAAATTTTGTTGATCTTTTAAAGTTTTAGTTAAAGAATTTGTTTATTATTTAAAATATTGAGCAAAAAATATTTTCTATATATATTATTTCGTATACATATTATCCGATGTATTAAAGTATAATAAAAATATTTATTTTAAATGAGAATTGACAGCAAATATTTTAATTATATTTAACAATTTTAAATGTACATATTTATAATATATTTATAATATATAAATAATAATTTTAATAGACCTAAACATTTTCTAAATCTAATAAACTTTCAAAATTAATGACATAAGCAAGTTGTTCCAAAGTTCCAAAGTTGTTTATAAGTATTTATTATAGCTCAAATCATTAATTCACTTATAAATAATACGAAATTGTATAAAATGCCAGTAAATTTATCTTTATCTTTATGCATATATAAATAATGTTTTTTTTTTTTTTTTTTAATTCCATGCGGATAACAAAATGCCTGCAGGGAATGATTAAATTTAAATAAATCATTACATTAAGGGAAAGCACTTGTTAATATATAATTATATTTATGAATTGAAGTAATTTAAAAAGCATATAAATATAAAATTAATTTTAGTTTGTTTCTACTGACAAAGTCACTGCTTCCACGATTTATTGACGCGTATGTGTAATAGGTATAACGTACAAGGTAAGTCGATAAAATGAATTAATGATTCGTATAAATACGTAAAATAGTTTAAATAATTCATATTAAAGCTTCAACACATTTAAGATATTTAACTAACTTTTATGGATAACTTTGAATGCTTTTAAATTTAGAGATTTTCCATAGTATTTTCAGTTTCATGTTTCAATAAGTTTCTTTAACACATTCAAAGTTTAAATTCTGATAAATTAGAAGTATAATAATAAAGAAAGGGCCAATTTTAAAAACCATTTACATATTTCTAGTAATGTTTATAGTGAGATATACTTAAAGATTATATATTATATTGAATGTTTATGTTAGTGCATTTGAGCTTAAACGGAAAGTAATTAAAATTACAATTTAAAGTAAGTTTGATAAATTTATAACGAATTTCAACATCCGAGAACGAAATTCAAACCAGTGTCTCAAAAGTCTAGATATTGATATTTAGGAATTTTTTCTTTTTAATTTTAGATTTCAATAATAAATTAATTATTTTGAATTCTAAAATGCTCAATTATAATTAGTAAGTATTGGACCTTGAAACACGAAACCAAGAACATATGAAACATTGAACTGTTGCATAAGGAAATAATTTTTCTTTTCAAATTGTAAAATTAATTAAATCACAAATACAAACAAAAAAAAATAAATAAAATAAAATAAAATAAAATGCAATACAAAACGAAATAATATAATGGAATAGGAAAGAAATTTAAGGAGTAATTAACGGTAAAGGTAAATCAACGGCAATGTTTTGGCAATGAAAATTTAAATAATTCTCAGCACATGCATTATTAAAGCTATGCTTCTATTAATTATCAGACACTGATTAATACATTGAAAAGTATGATGTTTCATGTACACGACACATGCGCTTATCGAGTGTAAATTCATACGTGGTATGTGTGGTCAAATTTTTCTTTTTCTTCTTCTTTTTTTCATTTTCTTTCTTTTTTTTCTCTTCTTTTTATCAATTTGTAGCTATCAGTGTTCGAATGGAACGCTAATAATTTTATACATAAAATATATAGCATAATGCCAATTGCACTTAACAATGATTTTTTAATTAATTGCGAAAATCGGATATTTGTTTTAATAAAATTGAAAAGGCAGTGATTTAATTTACATTAACGAGTAAGTAAAAAAATTTACTGGGTTAATTGCTAAGTTATTGATAAGAGAGAAATTACTTGACTATTGATTATTAAATTAATGAATTTAAAAGTCGTAAAATTTTACTAGCCATTACGAAAAAGTAAAAATATCCTAAGAACTTAGAAATATTATTTTAGTAATTGAAGATTACCACATCAATGTTTCTTGAATTTTTCAAAGTAGGCAACTTATGATAATTTCAATACTTTTCATAATATTTAATTATAATTATATAATATAAAAATTATCCTATCTATTACTTTAAAAAGAATTAATAAATAATTCTTAGCATATATAACCTATTAAAATAGATTCGGTTGCTCATCGTTGACAAATGCACGATGATAAATGTTGATATTGCTAGTAGTAACATAAGACTTACATGTTTTATATTTGCAAATATTGACATTTAATAATTATCAATTTAAATTATCATTTAAATTTGTCCTTTTAAATTGTTATTAGGATTGGAGCCAATTATTTTCCTAATGAATTCAAATATCATTTAATAATAAAATTATTTTATCACGAGCGTTACAGCAAAATTGAGAATTACACAAGCCGCATATAAATAAATAGGTTTAAGAAGAATACTTAAGAGAAATACCGAATGTGCCAATCGAATTTTAAATTGCGCAAGGTCCAAAGCTCGTCGTGAAATAAATTTTTTTATAATGACGGTAATAGACGACGATCGTGAATTATCACCCGGGGAGAAAGAATATCCAATGCTTAAAACCTTTCATTCTCGACAAAAAGCACGATTTACCAAGCAAATGCTCCGCTAGTTGATT